TTGATAAATAATTCAATTGGATGGCCGACGAAAATCACTCGCTGTGCTAAGGAACTTCTTCGACATGTCGAAGATGCGTTCATGTGGTGTTTAGAACTTGTGTACCGCCTTTTGCTCTATGAAACAAACCATTTGGTATAACTCATATGTAACTGGCGGGGCGTCTGACGAACTTTGACATGATTTGACTAATGCATTCATAATAGTACAAATAAATCACGAGTTGAATACCACTCGCGGTTTTATTATACCGGCCGAATATTTTCGACATTTTCGCTTTTCAATATCGAAATATTGTTTAATCCTTAACGTAATCTAGAAACTAATGAAATCTTTCTCTTGCTGTGATTAATGGCATTGCAATGCGACGGAAAGGTATTAATGATTTGAATGCACATCGATTTTAAATGCTTTTCGGCCGCGGTTATTATTAGAATGTGGCAAGAACGAAGATTGAAGAAGAGCGTTAGCGGAGTCGAAGAGTTCACGTGATGGTTTGTGATTTTATCGAAGCTGGTGAAGCTAATGGGAGAAACGATGTTGGGCCTTGAGCCCATCCAGCAGGAGCCCGCACGAGTGCGGGATTCCTGGGGGGTCCTTGGAAATCGAGCTGAGAATTTCGCTGCAGCAGTAGATGCCATGCATCAATACATTAACGTGTGTGGAAGATTTGGCTCAAGGCGGAATCTAGGAGGCTCGTATATGCACAGGTGTTTTGCTACAGGCTCCCGACTCGTTGCCCATTAATATGCACGCCGTCTTTTACAAAGATCTATTATTGATAACAGCAGTGTATCGGTTCCGCAAAATTCTTGCTTGGAACGGTAGGTTTTTATGTTGTAAATTTATTTTTTATCTAATCTCATGGTGGAAAACAATATTTTCTGTACAGTGGCGTTGAAAACAATGTTTTCTACATCAGTGTGTGGAAAATAATTTGAAAAAAAAAATCTTAAAATCTCAGTTTTTAAAAAATATTAAATTTTATGGTTGTAGATGAATTATATTTTTACAAAAATTCATTATATTTCATTGAGATTTTCATTATGATTCATTGTTTTCCACTCTAGGTATATAATATATTATTTGAAATCCTATTAATATGCACGCCATCTGATGAAAAGATCAATTAATAATAACAAATTCTTCTTTGAAACTGCCGTTTTTTTACATTGTAAATTCATTTTTATCTAATCTCGTCTTGAAAACACTATTTTCTGTACATTACGATGGCTTTGAAAACAATGTTTTCCACATTGGAGTGAGGAAAACAACTTGAAACACAATTTTCAAGAAAAAATAGAATTTTATGGTCGTAGATGAATGAAATTCACGTAAAAATAGATTTTACGTAATTTTTTGTTTTCCACTCTAGGTATGTAATAAACTATTATAAACTTTACCTATTTTTATATCTAGAATCTCATATAAATATGCTATGATTGATTGTCATTATATATTAATCGCATTCTTCAATCAGCTCCAGACGCTTCTCAATAAAAAATAAACATTAGCCACATTTTGAACCGACGCACAAATAATAAATATAAATGCTTCGTTACTCTGATTACGCATTTTCAAAACTAAATCATGTTTATTCGTGCCTGATTACCAGCTATAAAATATTCATATAATCAATCGGTGATATTTTTAACTCGAGCGCATAATTTATCATGCTTTGTGTAGATTAATTGAACTCCGAAGAAAAATCCAACAAGATTTTAATGAGCACGGCGCAATCTTTTGTATTCTGCATATTTTAAAATTATTTACAAATAATATCAATCAGAAACGATAGTTTTTATTTTATTGTGATTGTAATTGTGATTCTGATTGGAAACACGAAATGGGCCGGTATTGCTCAGCGAAGCATCCTTCTGAGTTTAATGCCGGTGGATAATTAGTGGGTACGTCTAATTGGTAATTTAGCGGACAAACCGGGGCACGCAATACGGTAGCTCTAGACTCCGCCTATAAAATAACATGCTGGGCAGGTAAGCGAGCCACCGAAGCGCATTTCATTCCGTTTTTCCCAACCGTGTATTAAATCAACTCGAGAAACTAAATTAGGGCATATTTAGGTTTTAAAAGCCGTGCAATGACGTTTATTGAAATTAATAACCGAAAACCTCAGGTAATAAGCATCTCGGTATGGTACCTCTTTGTGGTTAGAAGATCCGCGCTTGTGTAACAATCACAACCATCAGGCGTGAAAACACATTGAACGCTGATGAAGAGAATCAGCAGGTGGGCGAATGTCAATCACTATCTTTCTTAACCCAACGAAATTCATCAATTTTACCGATGCGACCTAATATCTGACCTCGCATCTTTAATTATTTACATTTTTACTCACCTATGAAATGTCGCTGTGTTTCCACACGCGAAAAACGATAAAAACAAATTTGTTTATAATTAGCATACTGTTCTCATGCATAATTTATATCCGTGAATACATCCAGCCATTACAATGCAATTATTTTATCTATAAGGAACCAATACGTGGATGTTTGAGTGTTATAAATCACAGCTGACTTATTGAACGTAGTAAAACCGTCCGGTTGTTCGTTTTCGTTGCATTCGTACACCGATGCATGCAAATTCTCGAGTATGTGAATAAATATATATATTTTAACTTCAAATTAATACTGATAATCATCATAGATAATGTTTTATTAATACCAGCGCTTATTTGGGCATGTTTGTGACTGTGTGTGGAGGTATAATGCAAAAAGAATTAGTCGCTAACAATAGGAACAGGTTTGTGCTGGTTTTAAGCACCGGATGTTCCAAGGACCTGTTACCATCATTCAATCCGAAGGCGTGCGCAGGTAATTGTTAAATTTCTTGAGCAGCACAATGCCAACGTTTAAAGTTCAAACGTAGCAGAGAAAAGAATTGAGCATTCATAATTACGGCGCAACCTGTATCGAAGAAATGATTGAGTTTAGTGTCATTCCAGGTGTAATTTGTTGACCCTACCCAAAACAAGTGAAGCATTTCCGGACATTATAAACAATAGAGTTTATAAGAATCATAATTCATTGCACCTGTGATCTATATTCTTAATAACGTATCAGTTTTCAGAGAGAACAATGCGAAATCTGTTGTATTTTATTTTTAATTAATTAGCCTCTTGAATGGCCAGTGTAAATATTGAATGCGAGCGGTTTTTCTCTGCATTGTGAAGCCTTATTAAAAATTAATACGTGCAATAATTTATGGCGGTGTAAGGTACGTTTATAGTGTGCGTGTCTTGATTTTATTTCGTTCGTTATTAATGGGCTCGAATCGGAAAGAAACACCTTCATAATTTATACGATTTTAAGATTATGGAGTTAAATGCATGACGATCATCATTACCAAAAGGGTGATGGACAAATTTATAAATTTAGAAAGTGTAATTATATGAAATTGTGCAAACATAATCGATTTGATTACATTGCGTGTAGAATATAATTAAATGTTTATCTTGTCAGCACGTAATTTAATGTTTTCCGTAAATTTTAAAGAGAAAAAATTGTTTCAATACTATTGCGTTGTTTTCTAGGAGAAAATATGTTGGAAATATTTAAAATAAAAGCATTTATGAGAATTATGCTAAACATATGTGAATTGTAATGTCACAATACCACGTAACTAAAAGTGAATCCGAAATTGAGGAAGCGGAGGCGCGTTATGCAGACCTATTCATGTCGCAACAAGAAATGACCTCGAGATTGTATTGCAATCTGTGCTCAATCATTAATGTTAACTTTCTTAGAATATACACATGTTTAAAATCAAATAAACCTCTGCCATGAGATAACACGCTTGCAATTTTTGATAAAACAACACATATACTAATATTAAATAAATATTTATTTTATTGTTCTTGAAAATGTCAAAATAAAAATATCAGCATGCAAATATTGCATGACATATAAACTGAAATGTTATTCTGTGCTGGTTTTATACAAAATAGAATTTATTTGCTTGTGCGTTTGGAGAATCTAGCCCTTTTAAAAAGGAAACAGTTTTTATTGAAACAAATATTTATCTTGATATCCTCGCAGCGTATATATGATATCAGATGTCAGATGTATCGACACACCTTAATATATACTTGGGTGCCGTGGGTGCCCACGACGCTCGCAATACGCAATAAAGCAACAAAACATAAACATGCGGCTAAGCTACCACGCCCAATTGATCCCGAAGTAACAAATCTGTGCACAAACGCACACTCTGCACAGGTTAGTTGTTTATTCACGAGTTCATTCATGAATCTTTCATTCATGCCATTCTTGTATTCTGTGGTGGAAACGTCCCCACTTCGTGTATTGGAAAGAAGGATATTTGCCACTTCCATATTATTGAAGTAAAGGATTGACAGAAGGTGAGTGAAAAACCAAAAATTGATATTAATAAAATGATGATAGGAAAAGTTGATACTCTCGCCGTGTTTATTTGATTGCAAATGTACACCTCGTAAGAACATGTTCACAGAGCTTTGGAGGTTTGGAGGAAGCGGTGGGTATGTAAGCGTGCCGCACCTTCAACTTCCTATTATAGTAAACTTTAATCAAGGCGCTGATGTGTTTCTTATTAATGAACCAATCGCGCTTCGTCGTTGTTTCATGCGCGGAGTTTTTATTCTCACATGTTCATTCACTTACTCGTATGTGCTTGTGCAAATGACTAAGAATACGTGAAACTACTTACCAAAAACTAATAACAAACTAAAAGATTTGTTTTTACGATGTATAAACTTCTTACTTAGTAGAAAACTTTGATTTTATTCAATCTGTTTTTCATACATTTTGATTGCGATTTTCACAGAAACTAAAAGCCATAAAGAGAAAAGGTTTGAAGATTCTAAATCTACGCCTAATTCTCTATAAGATAAGTTAGTTAAATTGGAAGTAAAGGAGATGAGAACATAATTCATAAGGAAAAATGTATCATGAGTGTTGCTTCATGTTTTTTAGAGTATTTTAACAAATATTTTCTAGACTAAAAGCGCTAACAACCAACGGATTAAAGAATAGGAAACTTTGGAAAATACGATAAGAAATTAATTAAATTTCGTAAGGTTAAAGTTCAGAAATCATGACTAAAAGTGCTAATTTGTGATTTTCTTCAATTACAGTTTTTTCAATTGCGAATATCTCCTAAACTAAAAACAATAGATAGGAGCGATATTTAAAAAAATGTTTTACACGAACTAATAATGATTTATACATTTATTTTAGTTTATAACTAATTTATTTCTAATTAAATTCTAGTTATTATAGGAGAAACTCTCTGCCAACGCTATTACACAACTTTAAATAAATTACTTCAATCTACTCGTTCTGTATGCAACCAACTGAACGTTTTAACCTTTCTTTCGGCCTGTACACTTCCCATGCACGTTTTCTATTCAGTTTTACCGACTTCTTACCTTAAAACACTGTTGACTGGTGATACACGATGAATACTTCATCTGAATCAATTCCTATTAGTGAAATATTTAATTTTATACCAATCAATGGAATCCCAAGTCTTGAACATATCGCCAAAGAAACAAATCTTCAAAGGTTGTACATAAACTTAAGACTTTATTTACAAGGCATAGAACTAGGCACTCACAATAAACAAAACTTCTCATTAGATTTTATTCTAAATCAAGCCACACATGAAAACATAACAGACATTTGTAAAATTATCAAATGTGCATTGCAATTACAATCAAATACAGATGAATATGAAAAGATAATCAAAAATCACTCCATGAGAATAAATTTGATAAATTTAAAGATAATAAACACTTTACTTTCATGTCCTGTTAAAACAGAATTTATAAATAGTAACTTATTGTCAAATTATTTGAATTATGCATATACTGAAGAAGAGGAACACAAATGTTTTGTGTCTAGTATTTTACCATCATTTCTAAGCAAAAACAACAAAAATCTTGAAGTTGTGTGGTGCAAATGCATCAGTGACAAATCTTTAACACTTTTATCATCAATATCTTCATCTTATTTATTTTCTGAAGCTGGCATAAAGATTTTGCAACAAGAACAATTTTGGGAATTACTTGTACATGAATTAGTTGCCAGTGAAGGGTTTAAATATAAATCAACAATGTTTCTATTGAAATTATCATTGAATATTTTAAGCCATTATAATGTTACAATCAATAATAAGTACATAAATAACACACTTTTGTCAGAAGATAATAAATCATTTGATTATTTTTGTATTCTCTTAGATATTTCCATTGAAAAGCAGATACATTTAATACAACCATCGTTATGTCTTCTAAACAAGATGTTCTTGCCTACAATGTGGTTAAATATAATTTACAAAAAATTCCTCGGTCACTCTAATAATACAGTTGCATTTTATACACTCAACTACTTTATGGTGAATTATAACGATACTGATTTAGATTTTGGTCCTATGTTTACTGCATTAAATAAAAACGACGATTCAAAGTTAAGTAAACATATTTTACATCGATTGCAGCAATTTTGTAAAGAATTATCACAAGAAAAGTATGAAAAATTACTATCAGACAGTTTAGGAGTAAACTGGAACCCGGTTGCTTTTTATAATTTTTATCAACATGTTTTAGTTGACAATAAACATCTTGATTGTAATATAACACTGGAAATAATCCGAAATTGCAAGAAACTACCTCATAAATACATAAGGCAAGGTGTTATGTTTATTTTATTTACAAAACTAAAAGATCAAATTACAATGTGTGAAGAAGTTTCGATTGCAAAATACATAAACATTATTTTAGAACTTATGTTGGATGAAGCCTACTACAGATATGCCACAAAATTAATCAATATGAGTAAGTTGACTGTTCCAGATGAATTTATTCAAGAATTACTAGGATTTTTATCAGATCCTAATACTGTAAACATAAAAATCAAAGTTGATTTCTTAATTGAGATCACCGAGCGAAAAAACGTTCCGGATTTGCTTGTGAAAGGTTTATATCAGGATTTTAAAAAGAGAAAATACGCCACGATTGTTCTGGATCGTTTGTCGTATTTGTATCTTGTTAAACCTTCAGATTTGCAAGATTATTTAATGGAAAGGTTGGATTCGAAGGAAGAGGCTCATTCGATTCGACATATGGATAAACCTAGTTATGATTTGGTCTCAAAGTCAATCGGTATCTTAACTTCGAATAAACTTGTTTCTTGTAATCAACAATTGCTTGCTTTCGAAGTACTTTTTTATATGACCAAGAATAACTATACTGTTGTATATAATCATTGGTTTAACAAGATTTTAAATAAGTCTGAAGTAATTTTGCCTAGTCTTGCATTGAATTTTGTTAATTTATTGATTAAGATTCCTACCAATTTTGGCAGACAACATTTTGTAAGATTGTTGAATGTTTATGAAGAGTTTTTCAATAGTCAGCGCGATGATGTCTTGGTGAGAATTTATAGAAATTTTGATTTTATTATGGAGAATATTGATAGTAGAAATTTAAGTTTTTTGGAAATTGCTTGCAATAAGATTTTCTATTTGAAAGCAAGAGATGATGTGGAAAATTCGATCAGGTATTTAGTTAGAGTATAGCGTTGAATTATAAAACAATAAATAAAGAAGTTTTGGAGTTTTTATTGAAAAAGTTATATGATATTTCCCAAAATGATGCCTCAGGAGATTTTGTAATTTATTATACTACAATGTACTTTAAATACTTAAACTTTGATATTGATTTGTTTCCAATGTACAAGTTCTTGATATATCCCAACTTTATATTGCATAAAAATGAAAGGTAAGTGAAATATTTTTTGATTTTCATACGAAATTTTAATTTTTAATTGTTTTTAGGGCCGAATATGAAATATGTACTGATATATATTTAGATATACACACACCAAGGTATTTATTACAATATATTCTACAAAATTTTAAGTTTTATTGATGAATAATGTTGTTTATTTTAGTCCGTTTTTCCGTGCGGCTGAAATTCGAAAATGGGCTTTGGAAGATGTTCTATTCGATGAAAATCCAACGAAAATACACAAATCAGTGAATTATTTACTTGATCATTATCGGAAAACATTCAATAAAAGATATTTCCCCGACTCAACGGTAAATATACAATTTATTTGTAATTAAAATATTAAATAAAATGATTTTAGTTACATCTTCATAAACTCCGTACCATGCAGATATTAATCTTCATGCTACCGAAGATTATACTTCAGTCACCATTAAAATTAGATCTAAGAGGGTTTTTAATGGAAAGTTTTGCTCAAGAGAGTCACCAACCATCAGTCAGATTACTAATGCAGTATTTATTAGTCCAATTAATGAAAGACGAACAATCTGCGCTAGAAATATTGCTAGAAACAATAGAAAACTCAACAAAACACATTTGTCTACCATAATGGGCCTAGTGCCGGTAATTTACGGCTTGGATTTATTAAAACACAACCCTGAGTTTAGCCATAAAGTGATTGATTCTGTGCTGGTCTGGACAATGGGGCCAAATTTTAAACTACGATATTACGCCCAGAAACTTATCAGGGAAGTGTGCCATCGACATCATCACAATTTCAAATTCAAGAAATACGATGCCATTTACAAAGCGGTTGATGCAGCCATCAAAGTCAACCACAATTAAAGACGATTTATATTTTGATATGATGGATTATGTGTACAAAGAAAGGCCATGGAAGGATAACAAGAAATTAATTTATATTGTCACAGTGCACATTCCTGAGGTGTGTAATGTCACACCATATGAATGGGAATACTTCAAGATAAAACAATATTGGTCTAAATATTCAGTTGAGAATCAAAAAGAACAAGAAACAACTGATTTAAATTCATTTGAAGAATTGTCAGTAACAGAATCAAATGATAATATACAAAAGAAGATTGTGCCATGGCAAGATGCTTTGAATACAGATGATAAACCTCAGAACAGAGGCAAACTTATTGTTGTTACGTCTCTGATTGAAAGTGCTGCTAACTTGGGTGGATTATCACGAACTTGTGAAATTTTCGGCGGGGAAATGTTAGTGGTTGATAACATTCAATCAGTGGAAAGGAAAGAGTTTGTTAATTTGAGTATGACTAGTGAGAAGTGGTTGAAGATAACCGAAGTTAAAGTTCAGGATTTACCAGTGTTTTTGAACAGATGCAGAGAAGATAATTATAAAATTCTTGGTGTTGAACAGACGTCATCAAGTACTCCGTTGGATTGCTATAAATTTGAAGAGAAAACCGTACTTCTTCTTGGGTAAAACCGTTTTAATGTGTAATAATATATGTGAATGATGTTATTATTTGTTTTAGTAATGAAAGTACTGGAATTCCTGCTCCGTTAATTGGTTTAATGGACCACTGCGTTGAAATCCCTCAATTTGGTATGATTAGAAGTCTGAACGTGCATGTTGCTGGTGCTTTGGTTATTTGGGAGTACACAAAACAACAAATGATAACAAGTCAAGTGAAAATTTAATAAAAATAATACTATAATTGATTTTCTTTGCATTCATTTTCCATTCTTGAATTCTTTAGGAAGTGCCTTTAAACTACTCTGTTATTTAGCCCAAAATGAACAAAAATTAAAAAATATTTTTGATAATCTTACAATTATTTAGTTATCATGTATTTAATTTATGTAAATAAAACATGCATCATTAAATTGTTAATAAAATGTTATTACATTTATTGTACATATCTGACAATAAAACTTTTATAGCATATTTGTACCAACATTCGTAAATAATATACTTCAGCTAGAGTTAAAATATTCCATAGTAAAAACTCCAAGAGCTACACTCAACCCCGCAACGTAAATAAAAAATGCCATTAGAATATTATCCAAACGAATTGGAAAATATTGCTTTGAAACTTCATTTTTATCCACAAATGCATAATTCTTCTGTATGTGATCAATCAAGCCTGTTTCGTGCATGGTTAACAAATGCCAGTTAACACCCTGTCTAATCGGCAGTCCTCGTTGCATTAGAGCCCATAAATAATATCGCATATAAGGTTTCATTTCGTATAAAGCGGGAGAATGATCCTTGTTAAAAAATTTTCTATTGTTTTTCATTTCATATCGAACACGATCTCTGCTTGCCGCCACAGCACCGTTTCTATATTCGGAAATTTCCAGCAGTCGTATTACAGTTTCATCAAGACCTGCTTTAACATCACTTTAGCAGCTGGATCACCCCCTTTATCAAAGGGGTATCGTGATGCTACGTTTCCATACACAGGTATACCACTCTTGATAATATCCTGAATTGTATTGATTTGTTTCTCGTACACCGGGTTGACAAGAAATGATATAAATGTGCTTTCATATGAGCTAGAGAAAACAAAGCAAAATAAAACCCATGATAATATAACTATTCTCTGAACTGAAGATGTTGGTAATCTGATGCCTTCAGTGACTACAATTGCAAGCATCTCAAAAAAACTATCACAAACATCTTTTTTAATTGTGAAATGCTGATCTGAGCGAGTTAATATTTTAAATAAAATATTGAACAAAACTAAAGCATTAAACGCACCGAAAAAACTCAACCAAGTAACCGGATGGAATATTCTTGTAATATCCAACCATGGTGATTGTCTCTGAGCTTTCGGTACAAATAAACTAGCAGTGGTGTAAATAGTCGGCGAGCTGGGATCGAAATACTTCCATGCCAATTCAGTGACAAAAAGTAAACCAAGCATAATGTCAGCTTCACGACGATAAAATGCAGCAAACATACAACAATTGATTCCATTTCCTATTAAACCATATGTGGTGTAATTGTGCTCCACATAATGTAGGTTAAAATTCATTTGTTTTGCAATAATATTCAATATCTCAGGTTCCATTCCTCGTACTCGTATATTATTGTTGATATCTCTGATTCCGAATGGAGCTATGCCATTTGGAACTAATACATCGAACGTACAATTCGTAAAACTATAATTTCTCAAGAATACATCATGTACTAGAGTTATATTTAAATTTTCACATTTAGATAATAATTCAGTAGTAATTTGTTTACAGTTTTGTGATAATATCTTCTTTGGAGCGTGAATATTACCATCTTTATCGTGGATTATTGCTTTATATGCACGTACGTGCCACAGTATTGTTAATATTTGATCAATATCACCAGCAGGTCCTGAATAAATGACTAAATATTTGCAATCAGTATTAAAACTGGTTGAATTTGACCATTTTGCCACAAAATTCGATATTTCGTCGACACTAACCGCAATTATTATTATGCTACGTATATAATTAGTTATTTTATTGGGTAATTGCTGAATTATCACTTGTTTCGTGAAGTTTCCTATAAATTTTAATACATCTTCGTCGTATTGATCTATTACCGTGGAATATACTATCATAGTTGTTTTATTTTGTAGACTCATTGATAGCAAGATATTTTTGATACAGAGAAGTTGATCGGAATTATTGTTAGGGATAATTAACTCACTATTTGCAAATTTTACATAATATACAAATAATATAAAGAGATAAACACTGGACATGTTTAGTCAGCGGGGAACAAAATATGTATGCATTGTTGTATTCGTTTCAATGATTGTATAGGTGGTTAATAAAGCAATTATTTATTTATAATCACGTGAGTTAGTTTTTTGTTGTTGTCTCACACAATATATAAATAAATTAAGAGTATAACTACAACACGTTATATTTTACTGAAAATAAGTTCTGTGAATGTATGAAATATCATAGTTGTTACAATATATGATTAAATAATCATTAAGTGGAATTGGAGAAAAAAATTATATGAAAATACTTGATTTTTATCGTTTAGGAATACGCAATTTATATACGAATACGTTAATTTTTAATTATTTTCATTGTTAACGTGTTAGAGTAAGAGCTCGTGACGGCCAGACTTCCCTGATTTTAGGAAAGATGATGTCGTTTCATGAATTTTGAAGTCACAACGACTCCAAAGAAATTTTCACTTCGTCAAATTAGGATAGTTGAATTGTCTAAATGTAAATTTATAAAATGCGTTGATGCGATAACCAATGTATATGTTTACAAAACTTTACAACAACGATATGATAAAAACGCGAGAAGATTTTTAGTGGAAAAGGATATCTTAGCGTCATCTCGGAATTACTTTAAAAGTATAATTTGAATTCGACTCTTTGTCTATTGAATCGTTCATGGTCGTGATGTGTGAGTGATTGTACTGAATCACAGAAACTATAAAAATTCTGTTATGCTGTTTATAGATCAATGAACTAATTTACTTAATTTGAGTTTTTTATCGCCATATTATAGTTTAAAGGATTCTCTATATCTTTATTTTTCAATCATTCTAAACCCTTAGAAAATGCCTTAAAATGAACTATTAATAAACAAAAAATTAAAGTTCTTGCAGTTTTTCCGCCTCCAATTGTCCATCAAGAAACTCTCTCCAAGATGAGCCTTCATAAAACTTTTTTTCAAAAAAAAAAAAATGAAAAGCATGCTGTACCATTATGCCATCCGGAATTTTACCATAATGATTTGAGTGTCTTTGATTTAAAATGTTATTCAGAATTTGAAATTTCTTATTTGTATGAAAACCATGATTTGTGTAGTATAATTGCAACAACCCTTTGCCAATAAACCAAAATAGCTCAGTTGGAAGAGCATTAGACTGAAGATCTAAAGGCCCCTGGTACAATCCTTGGTTTCGGCATGTCGCTTTTGTCAGAGATTTATCGTAATACTGGAAAATTTCGTTTTTATTGTGGTCTGCAAAATAAAACCCAGTATCTCCCAAATTATATGATTTCTTTATAGTTTCTCACCACCGTGTTAAAGTTAAAGACTTCCCCTACATGATGCATACATTTGCAGCCTCTTAGCACTTCTGAAAATGCCCAAAAGTGTTTTTTTTATAGAAAGTAGCATTTATCATAAAGTAGCCCTTTTAAAAGTGCCCTAAAATGCCCTTTAAAACTTAGCATTTTTCAAAAAAATTGAAAACATGATGTGGAAAACACCTTGTATCTTGCGAACTAATTGACTTTTTTAAAGTTTATCATCGCCAGCTTAAAGTTCAAGAATTCCTCTACATGATGCATATCCTTCCAATCTTCCACCCCTTTTGGAAGTGCCCTGAAATGCCTTTTGAAAATTGGTATTTAAAAAAAATTAAAACATGGTTCGAAAAACAAAAAGGCAGTTTAGGGCATTTTCGAAAGTGCTGTAAGATTGAATAGGCATGCATCGTGTAGAGACATTCTTGAACTTTAATATAGCAATGACAAGCTTTAAAAAAGGAGAGTTTTGGGGTACTTCTAAACGGGCTAGAAGTTTGACAAGGTACCTATGCATCAAGCAGAAGAACTCTTGAGCTTTAATATAGTGGAGACGAACTTTAAAAACGTCAATTTCTTCCCAAGATACAGGGAGTTTTCTACACCATATTTACATACTTTATGATAAATGCTACTTTCGAAAAAAAAACACTTTTGAGCATTTTCAGAAGTGCTTGGGGGCTGCAAATGTATGCATCATGTAGGGGAAGTCTTTAAATCTAACACGGTGGTGAGAAACTATAAAAAAATCATATAATTCGGGAGATACTGGGTTTTATTTTGCAGACCACAATAAAAACGAAATTTTCCAGTTGTACGATAAATCTCTGACAAAAGCGACGTGCCGAAACCAAGGATTGTACTAGGGGCCTTTAGATCTTCAGTCTAATGCTCTCCCAACTGAGCTATTTTGGTTTATTGACAAATCATGGTTTTCATACAAATAGGAAATTGCAAATTTTGAATTACCTTTTAAATCAAAGGCACTCGAATCATTTTGGTGTGATACTGGATAGCAAAATAGTACAGCATGCTTTCAATTTTTTTGAGAAATGCTAACTTTAGTAATTTATTTTTGGGCACCTATTAATAGTAGGTACATTTTAAGGCAATAAACAAAGAGTCGAAATCAAATCATACTTTTTAAGTCATTCGGAGATGTCGCTAAGATGTTTTTCTCCACTAAAAATCTTCACGCGTTTTTATCATTAACTTTATAAATTTCGATTTCAAAGTCAACTGTCCTAATATGACGTAAGTATAAATAAAAAATATTATAGTTTAGGAATGTCTGGCTGGGGTTGGAACCATACCAGGTGTCTGGCAATGAGCTTTGTTGGCTGTTAACTGCCAAATGAATCACGATCCAGGTTTCATATTTGGGGATCGTTCTTAGCTGTGTTGGGTACACAGATAGAAACATTTTCATCTTTCCTATAATGACGAAAGTCGGGCCGTCACGGACTCTTAGACTATGTTAATAAATGACAATTATATTTATTAATATGTTTTGTCTTGAGGACATTGTCAGTTTCAGTTTATAAAACTAATTCAATTCTGGCTATTTGTTATTTATTATTAATATTTTTATAAGTTTAACAGCATGGATAAATGAAAGAATTCTCAATGAAGCCATTTAATAAAAACATATTATTGTTTTGACTCAGATTAAAGGCATTTTAATTTAATTAACTTAAATATTTATTATTTTTTAAAGACAAAAATTAAAATAAACAAAATGAAAGAGTATAAATTATTCTGCTAGAGCACGTTAAGATCAATCCAATTCAACCTTCTGAATACTCAGCATTTAATTTGATCATGATGAAAAGCTTCTGTATTTGCTTCGTGTTTGCAGTTGCAGCTGTTACTTTCATGCCACAAGGTAAGAATATTTATTTCCTTTATTTTAATGGAAAATAATATTTGCGATTCTTTAAATTTTAGTAAGGGCTGCACCTGGTCATAATGTAGCCGGTGTAGCAGTTGTTGATGCCCTAAATGATCTGCATGCCCTCAATAATCCTAACATAATGGGCGTATCAAGTCACACGGTAAATAACTGCAACCATGGCGGACATCATCCTCACCATCATGGACACCACGGTCACGGATGCCACTGATATCTACTGGATACGCAGATAATTAATTTATATTTTTCAACTTGATATATTTATGATGAGGTATTTAATCAAAATAAATAAAATAATTTCAAATTATTATTATTTGGTGTTATTTATTATATGCATACCCTGAATTTCAGGTCTGCACAAATTAAAATATTATGATTTATACAGTTTCATTTAATAACAAATAGGTAGGTACGATGTTTTAAATTTATTACTTGCATCCACCCTTCTTGTTGTTACCTAAAATGTTCACGTTGTTGAGAACATGAGTATTGCCGAGAAGGTGGCCGACATGGATCAAAGCACTATCGTCGGAACCTGAATTTTCGGATATTTATTAGAATTTGATACTTTTATGGGAATGCGCTTGACTTACTTGAATCATTGTTGCCACAATGACCACAATCGCATGAGTTGTTGGGTTTATTGTGTCCCTGGTTGTTGTTGTTGTTGTTGTTGTTGTTGTTGTTATCCGAAGAGTTATCATCCGAATCTGTATTTAAAGTAATAATTGAGTTTTAGCTGTATTCCGTATTGTATTTTAAATTGACTTGGTTACTTACTGGAACCATGGTGTCCACCCTCGCATGAGCTATCTGGTTTGCCTGGTTTACCTGGTTTACCTGGTTTGCCTGGTTTGAATGGCCACGAGTCGAAGGGGTTACTGTAGGAGTGGTTGTCACACGAAGAATCTGAATCGTGGTTTGGTTTTCTGGTTGTGGTGGTGCATCCACATGGAGAAGTTGGGCGAGTTGTAGTGATGGGTTTTGTTGTAGTTACAGTTGGTTTGGTTGTTGTTCCGCAGGGGGTTGTTGTGGTAGGCTTTTGGGTAGTGGTAGTTGTAACAGTTGGTTTTGTGGTTGTTGTTGTTGGTTTAGTAGTAGTAGTAGTTGCACATGAGGGAGTTGTGGTTGGTTTTTGTGTGGTGGTTGTTGTAACAGTTGGTTTTGTAGTTGTGGTAGGTTTGGTTGTTGTTGTAGTGGTTGTGGGTTTAGTTGTAGTGGTAGTTCCACATGAGGGAGTTGTGGTTGGTTTTTTTGTGGTGGTGGTGGTAACAGTTGGTTTTGTAGTTGTAGTAGGCTTTGTTGTTATGGTGGTAGTTGTGGGTTTAGTTGTAGTGGTAGTTCCACATGGGGTTGTTGTAGTTGGTTTTTTAGTAGTGGTAGTTGTGATTGTTGGTTTTGTAGTTGTGGTAGGCTTTGTTGTTGTCGTAGTGGTTGTGGGTTTAGTGGTAGTAGTAGTTCCGCACGAAGGAGTTGTGGTAGGTTTTTTTGTGGTAGTTGTTGTTACTGTTGGTTTTGTGGTTGTAGTTGGTTTCGTTGTTGTAGTGGTTACTGTTGGTTTAGTTGTAGTAGTAGTAGTTCCACATGGGGTTGTTGTAGTAGGTTTTTTAGTAGTTGTAGTTGTTACAGTTGGTTTTGTAGTTGTAGTGGGCTTTGTTGTTGTTGTAGTGGTTGTGGGTTTAGTTGTAGTAGTAGTCCCACAGGAAGGAGTTGTGGTTGGCTTCTTTGTGGTTGTTGTTGTCGTTGTTGGTTTTGTAGTTGTGGTAGGCTTTGTTGTTGTGGTGGTTCCACAAGGAGTGGTGGTGGTAGGCTTCTTTGTTGTGGTTGTTGTAACTGTTGGTTTTGTAGTTGTGGTTGGTTTTGTTGTTGTAGTGGTTACCGTTGGTTTTGTGGTTGTGGGTTTAGTTGTAGTGGTAGTTCCGCAGGGAGTTGTCGTAGTTGGTTTTTTAGTAGTTGTAGTGGTTACAGTTGGTTTTGTAGTTGTGGTAGGTTTTGTTGTTGTGGTGGTTACCGTCGGTTTTGTGGTTGTGGGTTTAGTTGTAGTTCCACAAGGTGTGGTTGTAGTTGGTTTCTTTGTGGTTGTTGTTGTTATAGTTGGTTTTGTAGTTGTAGTAGGCTTTGTTGTTGTTGTGGTAACCGTTGGTTTAGTAGTAGTTCCACAAGGCGTAGTTGTTGTAGGTTTTTTTGTAGTTGTTGTTGTTACAGTTGGTTTTGTAGTTGTGGTAGGTTTTGTTGTTGTAGTAGTTACCGTTGGCTTTGTGGTAGTGGGTTTAGTAGTAGTAGTTCCACAGGGGGTTGTTGTAGTTGGTTTTTTAGTAGTGGTTGTGGTAACTGTTGGTTTTGTGGTTGTAGTTGGCTTTGTTGTTGTAGTGGTTACCGTTGGCTTTGTGGTAGTGGGTTTAGTAGTAGTAGTAGTTCCACAGGGGGTTGTTGTAGTTGGTTTTTTAGTAGTGGTTGTGGTAACTGTTGGTTTTGTAGTTGTGGTAGGCTTTGTTGTAGGTTTAGTTGTAGTTCCACAAGGCGTTGTAGTGGTTGGTTTTTTTGTAGTAGTTGTTGTTATGGTAGGTTTGGTAGTAGTTCCACAAGGCGTTGTAGTGGTTGGTTTTTTCGTAGTTGTTGTTGTTACGGTTGGTTTGGTAGTTGTTGGATGCGTGGTAGTAACAGTAGGTTTAGTTGTAGTTCCACAGGGAGTTGTTGTAGTTGGTTTCTTGGTAGTAGTGGTTGTTACAGTTGGTTTGGTAGTAGTTCCACAAGGCGTTGTTGTGGTAGGTTTTTTCGTAGTTGTGGTTGTTACTGTTGGTTTGGTAGTTGTTGGATGTGTGGTGGTAGTTGGTTTTGTTGTAGTTCCACAGTGAGGTGTTGTAGTAGGCTTTTTAGTAGTTGTGGTTGTTACAGTTGGTTTTGTTGTTGTGACACCAGTCGTGGGCTTCTTGGTAGTCGTCCCACAAGGTGTAGTTGGTGGTTTGGTAGTAGTAGTGGGCTTCGTTGTGGTGTGATCACAACTTGAGGTAGGTTTGGGGTTGGTTGTTGTAGGTGGGTGCCACCATGGATCCCCGTGATGATTATCAATTGGAAAACCCAGTATTGTGGTTGGCGCCGTCCAAACTATATTAAAATATTATCAACATAAACATATAAAAAATAAATTATAAAATAAATATTTTACCGTTGCTGATGCATAATGACAACAAAACAAATGAAACAAGCATCTTGTTCAGTTAATGGTACACAACAGTTTTAAAACTTTTACAAAAAAGCTAAACTACTGCTACTGATGCAACTGATGCAGCTGATGTTTTCTCTCATGTTATAAACAGTTTATATACCTGATTAATAATCCACGCCCTTTTCATTCATTGTTCAATATACTGCGTCAAATCAAAAGAAATATGTATAAAGATAGAATAAATATGAAAGACAATTCTTTCCTATCTGATAATACATTGAAAGCTGTTTGCTTTACACTTATTATCTTGTTTAATAACAAGTAGCATCACTCGATAACATACGCAATACGGAAGTTTCTTTTACGTTTCTTGATTAAATCTATTTTAATTGTTCTTTGACGTATGTTACATAAAGAATAAAGAATAGCACTGCTATTTAAATATTTAACATGTTGATTTGATTTAAAGTTTTTTAAGAGTGTAATATTTATACATATACTATTTTAAAATGTGATATTGTTAAACTTCTGGCAATGACCGATTTGATGCAGATTATTAAACAATTGTTTGAGCTATAGTTTTACGTGAAAGTGAATATTAATATACATAAGTTAATTGTCATTGATTTGCCGTGGTTTTATGAATATGGTATCCTTTCATAACAATAACTTATAAGAGTTAAAGCGTTCTCTTTCACTTATGTGAAACAATTGAGTATAAAAAACAATAAAACGATTTGAAAATTACTAAGTAGACCAAAAGAATCTTAAATGTGAAAGCCTAAAAAATTCTACTGCAATTGGACCAGTATTAAAAATTATTTAGGTATTTATTCATAATTTAAAATTTTAAACTATTTTTGTAAACAGAAAATAGACTTATTTTAAAATTTGTAAGCAGTTTTATTATTTCAAACATTCTTTTAAAATACATTTTAATTATATGTTTATCATTTGATATATTTTCTAAAATTGTATTGGTTTAGAAATTATTGCTTCAAAATATTTTTCTAACGTAACTTTTGTGATATAAATAATATAGTTTAATAGAAATGTTGCAGTTAGTAAATCAATCTGTGTAGTTTTTTGTGATCAGATCTAACTTAGAATCCCAATAGTAAATAAAAATAACAAATAATAAAAAGAAAATATATCATTTGTAAATTCATGCTTGTATTTATTATATTAGCTTTTGTAATTATTACAATTAACTTTCAATTCATTTCATACAACTAACAGGGCAATGTAGGTTTTGTAGGTTTCGTTGTAGGGCATTCTGTCGGTGGAAGAGTTGGCGGTTTAGTGGTAGGACACTCAGTTGGTGGGAGTGTTGGGACAGTTGTTATCACAGTTGGCTTGGTTGTTGTAGGGCAAGTAGGCGTTGTAGTAGGAGGTATAGTTGGAGTGGTGGTTGGAGGGCATGTGGGTGTGGTTGTGGGAGGCTTTGTTGTTGTGGTTGTTGTTGGGCATGTTGTTGTTGTAGTTGGAGGCTTAGTAGTGGTAGTGGTTGTTGGGCAAGTTGTTGTTGTGGTAGTTGGAGGGCAAGTAGTAGTTGTTGTAGGAGGCTTAGTTGTTGTAGTTGTTGTTGGGCAAGTTGTTGTGGTAGTAGGAGGCTTAGTTGTTGTGGTTGTTGTAGGACAGGTTGTTGTAGTAGTTGGAGGCTTGGTAGTTGTAGTGCATGGAGGAGTAGTAGTAGTTGGTGGCTTAGTTGTTGTTGTTCCACAAGTTGGTTTAGTTGTAGTGGATCCAGTGCATGGTTTAGGTGTTTTGGTTGGTAAAGGGCACGATCCTGATTCACTTGAACTTGAAGGTTCAGATGATCCAGATGATCCGGATGATCCTGAACCTAGACTGAGATCTAACAGACCATCTAGGAGATCATCTACTAAGTCTGTTACTCCATCCAGTAATGCAGGTGCTGGGAATGCTACAACAACAATATCACCATAGATATTAATTATTTACTAAAATAGTTAAAACTAATTATTTACCATATGAAATGCAAGCAGCTAATAAAACAAATCGGAAAAGCATTGTATTTGTTGTTGTGGTTGCTATTGGTGTTGTTGATTTGCTTGGCTGCTTGCTGTTCCAAGGAACTGGAGGATGTGATGATCAACTGATGGATCCGGTCAGATTTTATACTAGATTTTAATGCAACTTAATGTATAGCATTTTATTTAACATCGACGAAAGTATATATGCAATATTTACCTGACTTTTCAGATAAGCCAATCAAGACATAACAATCATCTCATTTAACTTACTTACTTTACATGTCATTAACTTGTAAAATATGTAATATAGGTATTGTTTTCTTTAAATACAAATAATGTAATCTGACTTTCAATGCAGGTTACCTAAGGTTGCGCTTAAGAATGTGCACATAACTTGTACATATACAATTTTAAAAACAAATACGATTTACCCAATAAGAAAATATAATTAGTGATCAGGATATCAATAATTGTATTGCATTGATTTACAATCGATTTATTGGCGTTTCTTTTGGCTTATGAGTTTTTGAAAAGTACATCTTATACTATATGCAAAGTTTAAGTTCACAGACTGTGGATAGAATCAATTTTTGATCGGACTGCGGACAAAAACTCATGTAATTTTTAGATTTTTCCAAATCGAAGAAAAAATCGATGCAAACGTTTTTTTTAATACTTCCACCTTTAAAGCGCCAGTTTTGCAATGGTTTCCAAAAACAAAAAGTAGTACTTTAAAAACGGAGGGCAAAGGTTGTGAGTAAAGTATTTTAGTCACGGCCTTTAGTCACGGAGTGGAGTTTGTGCCTGCGCATTTGTTTGCGGTGCAGAAGACCGAATAAATACCGTGCGTCGTCAGTCAAAGAATACTTAATATACTATAAATGTAATAATAATATACGTAAATTTGTTATTATGGTTCATTTTATTTGCATTTTATTTATTGTATTACAAGTTTTCAATTTAGCCATAGTTTAATTTCTAATCAGAAGATACTTGGACAGCAACCGATTCCGAATATACTGACTTCTGGAGACCACAATGGATGTGCAGCAACTAAAATAAAAATGTAGGAATTACTTCTAAAATATTTACTAGTAGAGTAAATTAAATAAATTTTAAAGTGTAATTACCATAAGTTACAGAAGCCAAAAAGAGACCAATTAGTGTTTGATAATAGCAATCCATGTTTGCTTTGTTTTTGTTATGAACAACAACATCGAATCGTTTCTTTATATAACATTTTCTTCAGTTTACAAAATAAATACAAGTAAATACAACAATGCTATATAATAAACATTGCAGTGTCTGGTAATGTGTTTACTTTTTTAATAAATATTGCTTGTATTATTTTTCTGATACAATATTAATTATTTTATTATAATTTATTTATTTTATAATTTTTATTACAAATCAAATCACAAAAATATGGAAGTAGGTGAGACAATCACTAGAATTTATTTAATTTTTAAATTTATTTTCCGTAATAAAAGATTCACACATTTTTAAGAAGCCACATCGTTACCAGTAATGCCATTAGGACCGTCTTGCTGATTTCCAGACAAAACAGTGCCATTATCAGGGTTGAGGAATATCGTAATCAAATAATCCAACACTGGTAATGGAGTTACTATAAAATTATATATTGATTAAATCAAAATAATAAAACTTCAAAGAATAATTACCAAAATGAATAAAAGAAAATATTAAGATTAGTCCCATTAACTTCATTATAACTCAATGATTTACGCTTTCAAAAGAATATGATTCAGTACAGAAGCAGAAATTATTATATATATTATAGTGTGTTTACCATTGAACAAATCCACATGATTTATACCTTCATATATAATTTTGTAATTTATTAATAAAATAATAATAAATTACACATTTTGCAACAGTAGAATCTTCATTAAGTCGTTGAATATTAATAAAAACCCTCAGTTCAATAAATCAAGAGTTAATTTACATAATTTTAAACATTTTATTGACCAATCTTCAATCAACACTTTACAAACGCAATATAACAATGCCACTTGCTATCACATTGTTCAACTGCCTAGGGTGTCAACAAATAGGCCATTTACATATCTAAAAGTGACAGCCACGTTCCCAAAGCTTCATGTTTTCAACGCGCAACGAACATCAATATCAATAACATTAAATCTACATTTTGGGTTTCAAACGTACTGAAAATGGTAACAAATCTATCAGGTCCTCATGCGCCACACTACAACTAGACGCGGATATCACAATGGATTATTACTCGTGGGAATAAGCAAGTAAATGAAGACATAAATCATTTGAGCATCCCGCAAGGCTGGCGATTACAGGATCACACAACATGTGGATTCCTCCGTGTTGTTGCGATCGAAATTAATCGGTTTGGGTTGACCTTTTCTGCCTGGCAGGGTTGCTTGATCAACTGCTGACTCCATTCGCAACATTACTCTATCCAATAGCACTTCGATTGCCTGCGCAACATTTTGACCAGTTGCGGCACTTGTCTCCAAATACAACATACTAAAAGAAAATGTTTTAGTATTGGAGTTGTTATTGTGTTTTGTTATGTGTTACTTGTTCTTTTCAGCGAGTTCTCTCGCGCGCCATTCGGGCACAACGCGTTTGTCCTCGAGATCGACCTTGTTTCCACACAGGACTACATCGGGACAATCGCAATATGCGTGCATCTGTATCACACGAAAACTTCAATAAGTAGGTCGGGGACACACACCCGCATCAATTACCTGTAGCTGATCGATCCAGTTTTGTATTTCAAGGAAGGATTTCTCATTGGTGAGGTCGAAAATTAGAATGAAACCCATTGCATCTCGATAGAACGCTGTAGTTAAACTTCTAAACCTAAATTATTTAAAAATACATTGAATTATTTATTTTACTTATTTAATTGCATACCTTTCTTGTCCAGCTGTATCCCAAAGTTGTAAATGTACTCTTTGATTTCTATCACTCGATTGATACAACTTTAAACAACTAAATTAATAAAAAAATATTTTTTTGATTTTTTAAAAGTTTACCATTCGTTTTTCCCTAAAATCAATCCCAACAGTTGAAATAAATCTTGAATTAAACGTTCCATCTGTGTATTGGAATAAAAATGAAGTTTTCCCGACAGCGGAGTCTCCAAGGGCCAAAAATTTGATCAAATAATCGTAGTCCATAGTCTAGAAAATATAAATATAAAAATTTTAAAGTATTGCATAATTAAATAACTTACATTGTTATTTATATTATTATCAATCGCAACCTGTTGATGTGGTTACTTGGCGGCCCGACCACCTGTCTGCTGCGCGTCCCTGAAACATAACTGCCGCCTGCAGGAACGCAGGAGAATGCGATTGTTACAAGCGGACGACACATGCGCAATTTGGGCGATCGATATTCCTCAAACAGGAGCGCACCAAGCTTTCATTCATTCAGTGGCACTTCCTGATGCATTCTCCAGGTACGGATCTGTGACAAGACCTTGACAGTAAACTTCCTGATGTTTGATGGTCTATAAGGTAAGTCAATGAAAATTCGATCGATTGCACAATGACAATATTGGAATAGAACATTTCTTTAGTTTTTCAATAGCGGATATCATCTAAACTAAAAATGATAGCAACCGACGGATTAAAAATTATGAAAGGTCAGGAAATTCTCTATATGACGTAATAATAAAATGATTGGAAAAAGAAATTTAAAATTTTGCAAATTTAAAAACATTAAAAAAAAATCAACTATTTTCAATTGCAAATATCTTGTAAACCAAAAGTGGTAGCAACCCACAGATTGAAGATTATTATAGTTCAGGAAATTCTTTATAAGATAAGATAATAAAATAATTAAATTTCGTGTAGCACATGTTCTTAAAATGTAATTAAAAGTGCTAACAAGAAATGAAAAACGCATGTTTTTGGGGGTTTTTAAATTGCAAATATATCGTAAACTAAAAGCGATAGAAAAGAACTGATTGAAAATTCGGAATCTTCATAAAATTTCTGAACTCTTTGCATTCAACTAGATAAATATTGATAATTTAAGGTTGAGTATTTATTGGGTAACAGATGAAAACATACATATTAACATTGTTTGTTGGTTGATTTGAATTAGGTTGATTTATATAATTTTTTCTTTGCCTATTAATAATATCATACATATTAAAATTCTAGGTAATAGTAAAATTGATGTCATATCATATAATATAATCGCAATCGTAATTAAATGTTAGGTATTCAATAATAAATTCGATGTTTTTACATAAAGTTAAACTTTTAGTATAATAATCTTTCATTTTTACTTATTTTAAGCTTTGTCGTCAATCCGCGCATGTAATCAACATGCCGCATGCTTATAATGAAAGCAAACAAACTGCTTAATGTCACTTTAATACCGTTTTTGCACCAAATGGCCCCAATTCCTTGGGTGGATTTATTCAACGCTGACTTTTTCATTTCTAATACTGAAAACTTGATTGAAAACCCATCAAAATGTGTTCATGTGTATGTGATCAACTAACGTTGTGTTTCCAGCAAGCATCAAGTCATGTGCAAAGTTTGTCATTTCATCATTTCGTTCGTAGATTGAGCGTATAAAAAATGGTTTACAACGTTTGAATATCTTATATACAAGTTTCATTTGCAATGAATTAATTTACAACCGGAATGTTTTGGTTTCCTTCCATAATCTTCATCATCATTTGATAGCATTAATATGAAACTGGCGATTCAAAAACCTTTTCTATCTATGTGTACTCCTAATCTTATGCGAAACTTCTGTTTTTGTAGTATTACAGCTGCTTTTAATGAGCTTAGCTTATTCAATTCAATCTCTGCGCTTTGATTTTAAAGTTAACGTGTTTAGTTTGCTAAGTTTGAATCTAGATTCATTCATGGAATGTTTGTTTCTCAGATGGTTTGCAAATAAAATCAGTTTTGCTCGGTGACATGGCAGTGGGAAACAAATGTCGAATGAAAAACAAAAATTTTGGCAAAGTTGAAAGATTTTGGTTTTTAGAATCGATCGCAATTCTGAAAGCATCATTTTTACTTGGTTGAGTGGGTGAGTGTATACATTACTTATGAATTAGGACGTATTTTAAGTCGTTACAGTTAAGATAGCTTAATTAGTTTAATTCTATAATTAAACACTCTATTTGTTAACGTAGATAAACTATTCATGTTTAGTCAAATTTGCACCTCAATCAGCTATCAGCATGTTATAATATCACGCCGATGGATTTGACGCTCACTGAACATTTCACGAAAAATGTTTGCTTGGGCGACAAAGCGGTCGACACAAATTATTCATCTAACAATCATAAAAAATCATCATTTTGTTCACGTTGGTATTCAAATTTTCCTATATCACTTAGAAATACATCGTGTATATAATATTTTTGGTAACGAGAAAAACTAGAAACTGTGAAACATTCATCAACATTCATTAAATCTCTAACTAGACTAATAAAAAATGAGAACACACACGTTATGTTTTGTTTCTAGTATGTTTGTTTGACGATTTAAACAATCACAGGGAGTTACACTTGTTTGCAATGTACAATTATCGATTATTAGATAATCATCTATATAAGAAATTCAACTCAGTTCAAAACTCATTTCTAATATATGAATATTTTGTTATACAATACGTTCATATTAAAGCTATGTCACCAATCGGTTTATTTTGAATTTTTATAATCAATTAACGGTGTAAATAATCTTCAACAAGCAACACGTGCGCAAAACTCTAACAATTCGTAAAGAAATCTTCGGGATCAACGTCTACATTCGCATACTAATGGGAACAAATTGTTTTAGCCTAATTATATTTCTAATATTTACTCATTCCAATATATTTTTGGCGCAAAATGCATCAATCGTCACGAAAATCAGGCACTCCTTATACGTACACATACGTAATCATTCTTAAAGTGTAATGTTAGCGCACGATAAATATCTTTATCATAATAATTTCATAATTTCATATTCTAGCTTACGATTAAGTCATATTCGAATAAATTTGGTGCCCTATTTTGCATTCATATTTATATCAACACATTACCGCAGCTATTGAGTTGGTCAACTCGCATCAACCATCGACTGATTAAACAAAACTCAGTCGAAGGTTAATCCGTCCAATCATCGTATTAATGCAAAACGCTTTCAATCGGCTTCTTCATCAGCATAATATATAATATATATCACAAGAAGTTTTTTTTTGTAATTTTTGTTTGTTTTCTGATCCGTATCGCCTAGTTTTTGGTATTCATTGGTTTTCAGACAATACATGTACACAAATATGATAGTATAGTGTAAATATATTCATAATGCACTTCTCTTGTATTTCATTTAGCGTTCGTTGCGGTTTGCTTGTCTGTATCTGCGCTATCAATGACTAATTCTTTCATAAAACACTTAGAATATGTACAAGTTACATTCCGGGAGTTTGTGCACGAACTTAATATTAATAGCAAAAGTTTTGCAATCGATTAAGTAATTAGTTGAGGCTGTTTTTTGATCACCTTGGAGTTGCTTTTCTTCTTCTTTGTTTTAACGCGTAGTAAAAAAGCTAAAAAGGCATGTTACGTGCGTCCATTCGGTTTGATTAAGGAAGAGAGACGAAAAATATCTGCATTTTGTTTTTGTTTGTAATATTTAGTTAAAGCATTCAGTAGCATCTTCTTTTATAGAATCTCTTTATAGATTAGGAATAGAATATTACGTTGGCCGGTGATGTTACTTAACTATTAGAAAAATATTTTTTCTTTTTGTTGCAAAATCAATTGTAATCGTAACCAAACGCATCGAATGTGATTTGGTGATAAGATAATTTTCTAATATATGGGTTTTAATTATATATATATATATATATATAATATATGCTTATTTAAGAATTCTATGTACAAGTTGGTTACTGTTGTCCATCATGTTAAAAAAAGAACGTTAGTGAAATAACACAACTGATGATCAACAATAAAACGTAATATATTTGTGTGTATCGTTGCACTGCTTCAGGACGAAGAGTGGCGTGTGACGTGTATTCAATTAAGGCTATCAACTTCGAGTCTATCGCACACTGCTTTCCTCAATATCGACGATGATATGTTAAGTTCAAAGCAAACATTTCCGGCCACGAGTGTGAGAAGTGTGTGTGTAGAATGTGATGAGCGGAAAACTTAGTTTCCATCGTTTCCATAGACGTTGGTAAAACTATTGTAATGATAGAAAAAGAAAATTAAAAACACGGCGAAGGCGCTCGGGAACGTGATGCGCGCTATCACGTCGATCGTCTTCGCCACTCGGATCGGATGAGGCGGCTCCTTTTTGCGCACCTGCAATACACAAGACTACTAGAGGTTAGACCTTTTTGCTAAGTGTTGGGTGTCACGACAGGCAGACTAACGACACCAACAAAGCTTTTCTTTTATTGCTTAATTCAAGTGATAAGCAGTAAAGCATAACGGAGTGCATTTCGTGTTTAAGACTGAAATAAATATTACCTCGGCGCATCCGTTATTCGCCGAATGCGTACAAGGATTTGGTCCACAGCTGGTGCACGTGATGATCTCGTTGGGCACCGTCGGCGACTCCCGCTTCTTGTCGCTCTGCACAAACAAGCAAAGGACGTCCGCGAAACGAAACGCCATTATTAGTTCTTGTCGTTTGCCGCGATAGCAGAAAACAACATTGCATTCGGCAATCACTAATACGCTCTCGGTTTATCGGTTTAGTATTTATTAGAAGCGGTCCGTTAAAGAGAGACTAAAAAGCAAAAACTTATCGTATCTAGAAAAGAATAATCAAGGAGTAAGTAGAAAAATTTCGGCCATAAAACAAAATTTTTCAAAGTATGTATGTTACAGTTTTGTACATCACGGATATACCTGTTTAATATTAAGTGTCGTTAGGCTGTTAATCTTAAAACAGACCAAGAAATTTGATTTTTTTGGTAAATTTTGACCTAGTTGACCTCAATTTAACAAAAATTTTAAGAAAATTCTCTCTATTTCTTCAATAAAATTTTAAAATTTGGCGATTGAGCTAAGTTTTTTATTCATACAAATTTTTTTTCTTGCTTAAAGTCAACTAGGTCATAAAGTTGGTTAATTTTTTTGTAAATTTCTCTTCACGCGACTTACAAAACTCGGCTGGTCCCTTGGAAATGTTGGCGTTTCGCCGTACGCCGAATAAAATTCCTGCTCAATCGAGTCCTACCAAAAACGATCACTTAACTTCTGAATTTATACTTTGTTCGACGGTTAATTCAAGTTTTAAAAAATGCACAGTGCAAAGTGTTTGAAAGGTCAAAGGACAAAGAACAAAGACAAATAAAACATCAAGCAGAAAGAGGAAACGTAGTATACAGGCAAGTAGAACAGGCTTCTTGCATGCGAGAACAACGTGCGAATTATGTACAAACACTTACCCATCGAGAATTAACATGCCAATTCAAAACACGTCAAAATTTGGTCAGTTTATTACGTATATACTCGTATTCAATCAAATCAAAACGTTTTTTGCTCTTTTTCGTTTAGAATTTCGTTATTATAGATATTTTCGGTTTTGTTTCAGGGTCAGCATGCGCATGCAAAGCTCGCTGTGCTTGGACGTTCAAATCGGTCAATGATAAATCATCAGGCAAGGTTAGTGGGCTGAGAAGGGGGGTCTGGGTCAAATGGGGGGTCAAAAGAGAAAAAGGGTTGTGTCTTGTTACTTCAATCATAGAGAAACAGGGGCGGGTTAGTATCAATTTGGTTTGACTAAAATCAATTGGTGGCGGTGAGTAAATTATTCAAAGGCTGACAGTGGCGTTCTCAGATCGTTATATATATATATGTAATATATTCAATCATAATATATAAGGGCCTTGTTTGAGATAAAGAGATAGAGAGATAGAGAGAGAGAGGGATTTGTTTGCTAGATGGCTTACCAGGGGACTGGCCAGGATAATGCCTATCCTGCTGAGCACAGCGGGCAGTCGCTGTAACATGACCAAAACAACGTACATCTTATATGACCACACATGCTCTCATAGTCATTTGATTGGTTTTTGATTTGTTAACTAAATTTTGCGGTTAAATGTCTCAACGAAACAATAACATGTTTCTTTCGATCTGGCGATAAAAATTTCATTTTTAGTTTTTTTTCTTTGGGTCAATTATAAAGAAAAATTAAAAGTGGGTGATATTTTACTTCAATATTTTACAAAAACTTATAATTCGTTCAAAAATTTTAGTTTTTATTTAGAAAAAGAACTATTTGTGTAGTTTTGTATTTTATTAGTTAATTTCTTAAAAATTGCGTTCGAAAATAAACATGTTTTTGTTTCTTTTGACCGTTATTCTTCGCTTGACTTGTTTTGGCAGTCTGTTCGAGAGAAAATCAGGTTATGTATTTATTATTAATTAATAACTGCAAAAGTAGTAATGTATTTCAACCGCAATTAATTTAGAACTATTTTATGTATATTTAAAAACAATTCTGAATCTAGCAAAAGAAAAATTTATATATTTTTTTTCTTCAAACAAGAAAAATGCAATTACGTAATGAAAATTCTCCGTAAAACTAGAAATTTTTACGATAACTGTAGTTAATTAATAATATAACCTGGTTTACGTTCGTTGTAGACATTTATGACGAGATTAATTCACTACGTTATTATTGATAAATGAATAAAACACATATATATGTGAAGGAAAACTCTAACTCGGCAATTCAAAGATTCGTCCTGTTGTAAACCAATTTTGTTCAGGCGAATCAATAAAGCACCGTTATGAAAAACGTTTGAATCGAACGAATCGAAATAACATTGGCATGCACTATGAATAAGTTGTTTCGACATGCAGTTATATTTTATAAGAAGATAGTCAGATGATAGATAATAATATATAATATACGCAATAATATAAATATATATAATATATATATATATAGAGAGAGAAAGAGCAAGAAAGAAATTACTGAGAGAATTTTGCAATAATCTTCAATAATAAAGAAACAGTAATAAAAAAGATAGTAGAGTAGAAAGTGTGATAAGAACGAACACTGTCACACAAACTGGCACATAAAGTGAACTCTTTTAAGGTTTAAATCTTTATCTTTTATCCTTTCATTATTTCTATAGAATAAAAAACGAAATTCAAGTACGAATCTGCATGAGTACATAATAAAACACATCAAAATGATATACACGAAAAGTTTGACAAACGGCGGCGGAAAAAAATACTGTTAATGAACGAATGGCTGAATTTAAAATTCCGCTCGTTACTCCGTTGTTGTTTACAACCGCTACGGCCGGTCATAATTTTAATTAATAACGCGTAAACAGTGAGCAAGTCGCTTTATTCCAAAAGGAAATGAAGAGAAATGAAGAACACAATTTTTAACAAGCACATGAACATTCGAAGCCTATTTGCCGGGTCGTTTACAGTGCGGCAAGCGGATGGAATGGAAGGCTTAATAGTGGCCTGAAAAGTGGTCCGCACACCGCACGCCAAAAGGGGTCATTAATGATGCAGGAAATTCATATTAATTAAAGTTTGCGCCGGGTACGCTTTTGATTCCTTCGCCCTTCCGCTGCAATATCATACTCGCCACAGTATGAATCCGAGCAAATTACTTTTCGGGTTTTCGGTTTTGATGTTTTCAGTTTTGACCCTGTTTCAATTCTCTAATACAAAATATGAACTCGGGAATTAATAAAACTTTAAATGATTAAATTATCTTCTGAGATTAATTTGATTTCAGATTGTTCCGCGTTGTAATTACAGCGAATTTATTGTTCACGTCATATGCTTGTTAAAATCCGCTTTATTTCCTTCCAGGTACCTTGTGCAAGTGAAAATTAAAAATTAAAGAATTCCGGTGTCTACAAAATTAATATCTCCTCTTAATTTTGATCATCTAGCAATATATTATTTCTTTTCTTTTGCTACGCTTAACTAAAAAGATGAGAAAAACAGTATGACGTCTATATAACATAAAAAAATCATACGGATGTGAAAAACCGTGTGGAAAACTCACTTGTGTGACGGGATTTTCGCCGGGGCGATAGACGACATTGTGCAGGGGCCGTTTTCGGCCCACGTAGTTCACGCAGACGAACTCCAGCAGCGAGGCGTAAATGAAACACATACATACGCCATCCCAAACGTTCATCGCTGTCAAATTCGACACCACCGGCAACGTCGACCGGAAACCGTTCGACGTTGTGAAAAAATTGAGCATCGTCGTTACACCTAAAATTACACACGGTTATTTACCTCTTAAGTCTATCAGGAAACACAAGAGGAATGGATACCTATCATCACTCTAGCAGGCACCGCATTCCACTCCAGCCAGAAGGTGATGAACGACGACGTCACCAAGATAATGCCCGGAATGAACACCGTGGTGAAGTAGAAAGCACGATCTCGTGTGAATTTCAAATCCACTTTCAGACAGCTGTAATTGCCTGAGAACAAAGTGACATCCTTATTCTCCTCCAGATTATTTTTACAATTTTTTTATTTTTTGTTTTTTTAACAATGCAAAGCAAAAATTAACATGACATCAACCCTCCAACACACCGGTAGTAGTATTTTACAAGCGTGTAAAGTGTTAGTTACAGTTTGGAGGCATCTTTTGAAACTTTGATTCCCAAGACTTTTGTGTTTGAATACAATTTCTGCACACACTGACATCGTGATTAATTACGACACGGACACACGGATTTTGCTCTGGTGTGTGTATGTGTGTTTTGTGTGTGTTGATAATATTGTGAGATTGAGCACGTGATTGCAACGACACAGTGTGCAGACGCTTTTTGTTCTCGGTTCGAACTTGATCAAAACATAAAACTCAACAAATTTGCACGTTAGCAAAAATCATAGTTTGATATAGAGGAGATAAGAGAATATAAACTGAACGAGGCAGCTGGTATGTACCTTGCTTTTCGAAACGTTTTTGGCAGAGGTCGCAAGTGAATATCCCTCCGTTAGTGCCGATTGACTTTCGTCCTGCAAATACCCATCGAGATTTTTTCGTCAACGAAATGAAACACAAACTGAAAATTCGTATGCGCCCAAAAATTATATATAACAAAAACATCTTGTGTACACTTGTATCGATCTATCGGGTCTATTTTGCTCGTTCTTAGGAATCAATATTGTCAAAAGACTGAACAGTCACTCAATAATTTGAGAATTAGTAACACAAGCACACAAGACAAGGCACTCGAAAAGAAGTTGAGTCGAAACGTAACGTTCGGGGGTGAAGAGGGAGGAAAAGAGGAGAAGAAAAACGTTGCTTTTTTTTCTTGGTTTTGCGAATGCGTGAACACACACCACATCGAACAACGATTAGGTTACCTCGCCAACTGGACTTGGTCGGGCAGATCATCGTCTGATTCTCGATTAAGTAGGCGTTCAGCGTTGTCAGGCTCGGTGATTTGCGCAGGACATCTTCATCATTCTTCCAGACGTATTTTATCGCTGTCTGTTCATATGAAACTGGATAAAATATTGATATATGAGTGCAATAATAAGACTTTGATTATTAACATTCAAAAAATTATTATTTTTTCAGTAAAACTCAAATATCTTTGGAAATATTAAATGCATAGCACTGAAAAATATATTGAATCCTTTAGAAATCAGTAACGCATCTTTTAATTGTAATAATTTTATAGTTTATTAGATATCAAGTTGATAAATGGACGTTTTTATCGCGGGATTGATTAAGAGCGAGCGTTTGCGCTGGCGGAAACTCCACGCCGTAACAAAAACTCGTGACTAAAGTACTTTAGTCACGACCTTGGTTGCCTTTGTTTAAAATATTACTTTTTGTGTCTAAAAACTGTGAAAAAACGGTCATTTTAAAAGTGGAAGTAGAAAAAACATTTAAATTATTATTTAAATATTGATTACATAACACTGAAAAATATATTATATTCTTCAGAATTAAAAAATTTAAAGAAATTAAAATTTTTATAATATTTTGGAAATGCCAGGTAAAAACTGACGTTTTTGTTGTTTTTACCGCAACTACTAACTGAGTTTAAAAATTTTGCTAGTAAATTTTGTACATGTAAACTTTTTACCACATTATGCAAATATTATGCTATCGAATAACGTTGCGCATTACTTACTGCTTTCCATCGCAAAGGAGCAGAGCGGATCATCGAACGGGAATATATTTAAGCTACCTTGACACGAAAGGATGAGATGCCGTCTGAAACAGAAGCGGATCCATATCAAATAAGACACGCTCACATAACTATCACCGATATTCAAATTTTGAAATATTCAAAACAAAAAACAGAAAGTTTACCGCATGAGATAATTGACACTGCCATTCCGAAAGATCTTCAATGCAAAGTGGACCGGTATGAGCGGATCCTTAAAGTCGCCGTGCATGATGAAATACGTGTCAGGCAGCCAGATGTCATTGTGATGGTGGATGGCGTTCAGATGGTCGTACTTGCTCTTCGAGTCGTACTGCAGCCGTGGATCGTACCATTGTTGCTGCAGCAGGAACTCCACTTCGTATTTCTGTAAGCAGAAAAGCACAGCGCTTATATCACACTACCGTTATGGAGATGTGGAAAATCCTGCCAGGTGGCAGAGTGCACTCTAATGGAAAACGTAAAAAGATTGCCGGAAATGTATGAAAATATAATTCAACGTCTGGAAATTTTTATGGTTTTAAAACTAATAACATGAAAATAGTTTCAACGAAGAATTTATATTTTTACTCACCAGACTGGATTCGTCCGGAGACGCCAAGCTCAATAAAAGCACGCTGACATTGACTGTGAGTGTTCCTATAATAAAAATCATCGAATTAATTTCCGATTCGATACGATCACGAAATACTTAGATGGATATTTTTTGCTAATTTTATTTGATTATGAACGCATGAATACGCATTCATCCGCTCGTTTCTCTAAGGCTTGAAATGCGGAATCCGTCTTGAATTTTGAGAACGGGAAGATTTGCGAAACGAGTACATGGTGAGCGACGAGAATTCGATTTGCTTAAACACGTCGCACGTGCTTGCCAGGCGAGAGTTTCGCGCTTTGTGCAAGGATTCAAGCAATACAACACACGCCTTACGCCCTTTATTGCTGGGCTTTATTAAATTTCGAAAACCCGCGTTGGTGCAAACTTTTACTGCAATCATCTTGGCCTTCATTCACGACCAGCAAGCAAGCTTACAGATATAATAAACGATGGTTTTTATCAACACCTTTTAATTAATCATCAATTATTTAATTATAAAAGTTTCCGAATAAATTATTTGTGAATATTATTTACTTTTTTCTACTTTCATCTTTAAAGCGCTGGTTTTTTTAATGTTTTTGCGCCCAAAAAGTGAAATTTTAAACATGGGCGGTCAAGGTTGTGACTAAAGTACTTTAGTCACGGGTTTTAGTCACGGGCAGGAGTTTGCGCCTGCGTATTTGCCTATGGTGTAACACAAAACCATTTGAAATATCATAACGTAAGCATCACGTGGCTAAACATTGTTAATCACTCGATTCATTAAACACCCATGACTAAAATTCCTATTAAGCCACTTGAGAGTTTATATACTATTTGAGTAACATTTACTTCAACTACTTCACTATTAATTATTTACAGAAAATACTTGAAACTCTAACAGTTGTTTACTCTTTACATTTTAATTAATTACTGAAATTAAAGTGGCTGCTAAATATTTTGAATCGAGGTGCACGCTGTCATCGTGTCATCGATTTATCGACACGCTTGATGTGTTAATATTTAATTCATGCATTTCCACCAGAGTAATTTCCATCAAATGCATCGGAAACCTAATACGTATGAATACGGTGTCGACGTGTGAGTGCACCAAGGGATGGTAATTATTGTGTCGTTCTATAGTCGCCCTGACACTCCTGACAATATACGAGTACGTGTAGGTACATACTGAGGGATTATATACAATCGCACAAATCGATTGACGTTATATTTCAATATTTCAGCGGACGACAATGAAATACGTTTGGTGACCTAATTATTTAGTTATAAATAATTTCCCATGGGAGCTTTCAACTTTTATAATAACATGCGCGTTGAAATTATTGAAACTCTTTTGTTTTGATAAAATATTTTTGCTTGTAATTTTGCGGTTGTTTATTACAAAGAATTTGGTTGGCAAAACGTGCAATTGAAATCTTTTTTAATTTGCATTTTATTTCGTTTGATTGGAATTGATTTTGGTTTTATTGTTGCTTTTTATGTTGGCCGTTTGAGCGAGTTTACGATATCGAAACGCAACGAACGGAAAGTAAACATTACACAAGGTTCGAACCTCATCGAAATGATTTCTTTTTCAAATGCTTGGCAACATTTTTTCCAGCAGTCGCGAACGAATAAACTCGCAACTCATCAAAATCAGCAATAAACTCAACCTTTAAGGATTAAATCCACTTCTGTTTTAATGATATAGTAACCTTTACAACAACAACAAAAATAAAACAACTTTAAACTAAAACTGTTTAAAAAATTGCTCTCTTTATGTATCTCTAAAGTATCTATTAAATTAAGTAATTTTTCACATTTTTAAGATTTGTAATAACTTTTTAAAGCCACTAAAAGATATTTTTAGTTTTATCATCTTAAAATCTTTTTAAAAAATCCAACTTTTTGTACTTTGAAAAACTAACATTAAAAATAAAAAAGCTGAGAAGACGATGTTTAATTATACGCTTGAATTGGAAAAGTTGGCAAAAGCTTTTGCCAAATTAATTCCAACGGAATCTATACAAAAAACGTTCAGATCAATTCTCGTTAAAATTTTAATGTAAAAAAACTTTTTGCTATTTTTTTTCTTTCTATTTTCATATTCACTTGATCGTCCCATAACGATTTTTATATCATTTTGCAAAGCTATGTATGTAAATCTAACCTTAAATCAGTAACAGAAAAAAGTATCCAAATTGCATGCATGTGGGGATTGTTATTCTGGCTGTAAGCCAGCTCCAAAAACAGCAAGACTTAGTGCTACATGTAACATGACAGCAGCAAAGCACACAAAAGTACTTAGAAAAAGAACATCGCCAAACAGAAAACAAAAAGAAAACACCATCGAAAAGCACACGAGCCGCTTTGTGCATATAATTCTTCTCCTCTCCTCCTTCTTAGGCCTGAACTTTCAGCACAAGCGTGGACATAAATCTCAAAACGTTTGATCATGCTATCTATCCCGGAAAAGGACAAAGCGGTTTGCTTCTGGCGATTGTTTTCTTCCCTTATTCACATGACGTGAAATTTTAATCCCTGTCGCACAAAAGAAGCAGAAGACAAGAAAAAATTGAAAGAAGAAATTAGTGTACACATTGATAACAGATTAAAGGACGGAAGAGAAAAGAGTAAAGAGAGAAAAACACGGGCTAATTATGAAAAAGAAAAACGGACCGACGCGAAGTTTCGCCTTCGGATCTTTGAAGTCCGGTTTATCCTGAGGACGATGCAAGCCGCAGCAGAAGTCTGCATCTGCGAACAGGCAGAACAAAACAAAAAAATGCCATCAACATTTTTTGCACCACCACCACCAACCAGACATCACCATCAACGTTCTGACAACACCAAAAACTTGACATATTTATTCTAGGCTATAACTATTAATACAACTCGTTCTCAAAATTACAAGTGGATGAAAATATTATGAGAAATGGCACGGAGGGAAATTTATTCATGAACGGCCTTCATATTCCTGTACATACTCCTACGAGTGCTTGGAAACGCGTGTTGACGTTTGCAATTTAATATTGTGTATTATTTATTAGAACCGATATATGCGCTACGACGCCCCGCCGGCAGGGGTGGAAGTTATTATTAGTTTTTATTGCTCGTCCGTTCGCTGCCGCAATGCGCCTGCCTGTTTTAGTCGGCTACCCTTGGCAGGATACGCATTTTACATTTTTTCAACAACAATTTTCCATTATTCCAATTATTCCTGCATGTTTTCCAATAATACCTACTGATATGTCAAATTGTTAAATGATTTCCATGACATTTTAATCTTTATTCGTTATTTTAAGCGATAAAATCAACAAAAATTGTTAATGCAGAGTTTAATCTTTTACAGCATGTACATTATGGGATAATAAACATTTGGTACCCACAGAAAAGCAAATGAAACTGTGAGTTATCGCAAGGCGTATGAGTGTAACCCAGTTTAAGCGAAATTTTCAAGACTTTCAGTCGCCGCTGCCGCCGGCAGCGACAAACAAAGCTCAAACTTTGTCGGCGATGTTTGATATTGCGATTATTGCTCAGCACGCAACCACGAAACATTCCACTTCAACTTTTCACATCAGTTCATAACTGATGAAATTGAAAAAGTTGATTTCGAATAATTAAATTTCATTTGTGTAACTTCACCAAGTGTAAAACGTACAAAAACAAACAAAAATGAGGTTAATTTATGAATATTCTAGTTTAAACACTTGTATCATCAGTTTTTGCATTTTTTCTTCTACACTACTACTACTAACAGCAAGACAAACAAGATAATACCGGTTTTAACGTTTGCATAAAATGCATAAAAGCATTTATCATTTTATAACACACAAAATAATAAATGAAAAATGATTTATTCAAAGCTCTTGCAAAGCACTTGCAACATAAAAATTTAAATTTTTAATAATTTGAATGTGGGCAGTAAAAAACAACAAAATGTCGAAACCTGTTACAGAATGTGTCATAATGAAAATGATTCAAACGTTGGCATGCATTTAAATTAATACTTTGGCGGACACACCGGATAATTTCGTTGTTTCCGTTTTGCCGTCAATTATAAACAGCGATTTGAATATTTGCACATACAACACCCAAAATGATTAAATTTTAATTTTGTTAACGAAAAAGTCTAGATATTTATATTTATTGCAATATGAATATTGCAAAATTTAATAATAATTTAAATTTATTGCAATATATTGTTTGTAATATTTAGGAAACACAAATATTGAAAGCATATTAAACTACATTATTAATTAGAGATTAATTTAATGGAAACTATTTATTTATTAATGTTAATTTATATTTTATTTTATATACGTACCTCTGACGGGTGGTAAAAGTCGCTTATCATATCTATCTGATGTTAGCAATTCATCCAGAAACTCTTTATCTGACTTTCCTTCAAATCTGAAACATAAAACGAAAAAAACTCGTAAATTTAACTTTACACATAACTTTATACTGGTAATAAAATCGTAGCTTCATAAAAGAAGCAAAATTGCATCGGTATTTTTAAGTTAAAGTGCATTATGCTTCCTCTATCCGGTTTCCAGTTTGTCCAGGCTTCACCTTCCGGTTGTATATGGTTAAAATCGATTGAACTCGATGCATACCTCCACAAACTATGTATATTATAGTGGGAGTTAATCAGTATTGCGATCAGGATCACACTAAACAAGAGCCACGCATTCCGTCCGGTTGCAAACGGCTCGTATTGACCAAATTGCTCTGTTTGTATTTGGGTTACAATGGTTTACAATAACAATCTCTCGATAATGTTACCGAGCTGCCAACTCAAGAACAATTATTCCAATTGCATAATGGATCTAATTGTTATCGCAAATGTCATGAATTTACAGAATAATATGAACTTAGAGTTACCTGTAATCAATTGTATCATTTTGTGAGTCTGAATTGAGGAGCGGCGGTGGTGGTTGCAGTTGTTGCTGGGTTTTGGACCGCACCAATTTAGCAAAGAGTTGTGTTCTGAAAAAAACAAGGGTATCAGACATTTGCTTATCACAAACCCCAAAAACCGGTAGCCATAAAGCGGAAAATATTTTTTGTTGTTGTTTTTTTATTTTTTTTTACAAAAAGTTTTTAAAAAAATAGATTTACTTACGCGGGGTCTATAATTTCTTCTGCTGAGGATTGCCTAGTGGCCAGGAGGATTAGAGCCGTTGTGATTAACAACCGAGTATAACCCATATTAGGACATCTAAAACAAAACACAAAAAAATCCGTTAAAAATCAATATTTATACAATTTTTACTATTCAAATACGAATGATTTTCTATATCCCTATAGATTCAATTCAAGTAAATACTGCGCTATTTTAAAGCGTGGTTATAGTGCACTGCAGAGCACATCTAGAAAATCAATATTTATTCAGAGTTTATCCAACAAGAACCGAAACGTTTTGCTCGTTTACGGCAGTCACAACCACGCGTGTTGGTATTCCACCAGCGGATAAGGATTATCTCCTCAATAAACTCGAGATGCGCCAACCAAAACAATTGTATCTGACAGCTTCAACTCGAAAACAAAACCAAAATGCTTGTATTTTAGTTCTGTGTATTAGAATTAATGATCAGTTCGGTTTTTTCGGTATAATATCAGAAAGTCCATTAAGTCGTAAAACTTGCAGGGGTAGATTGGGCGCTCGTACATTAATGCGTAAAAAAAGGTGCGATGTGCGAGCAAACCGATACAGAGAAGGAGGAGAAAGAGGTGTTGGTGATGTAAGCTGCTGCGAAAGGTAACAGCCGCACCATAATCAACCCACTTTTCGGAGCCTGCGTGTGCGGTTCGGCGTAATAACACTGCGAGCCGAAAAATATTGCGCGGAACGACGCCGTGGAAAATGTTTATGACCCAGCAGATAAGAGCAGACAACGTTTTCGCTCACTGCTAAACTAGCGAAGGTATGAAATGTAAGTATCCAGTGAGAAAGATGTTACAGTTCCAGCATTTGATGTACTTTTGTGCCATTAATGAAAGCACTTCGGACATAACAACGCAAAATAAACTGAAAATCAAAAAAATTGTTTAAGGAATATAGCTATATGAGGTTTTAATGGAACAATGAGAATAATATTGAGTGATAATTACAGGTTTCTATAATGAAACCAGCGAGTTGTTTCTGGAGTGCAGCACTCCATCATTTAACGATCTCCTCACGTGTCGCCGGAACATTACTCCATTGCAAGTATTTTTAGTAACACTCGACACACGAGAGGCTCACGTTGACAGTGGCACGGAATGAAGTCATTTTACCATCATCACTTCAAAAATATATCGTGGTGTAAAATATTTTGATAGAATTGAGGTTAAATTCGGTTAATAACCGTTTTTATTTTTAGGTTATGTTAGGGTTATGTTTGGTTATGTAAACTGTCAAAATAGAGCCGAATAATTCGTGTTTTTGAAAAGTTTCCATTACAGTGGACGTCAATTGTGATGGATCGAAAGTTGGTTTTATATTGAAAGGTGAACAACATCCTGGATATATTCGTAATTGCCGCACCGACACGAATTAGTGCGGTACGATGGTGAATCTATTTCACTAGCACCAAAGCGAGTCATCAATTTGTCAATAACATCAATATTCCGGCGCTAACAACGCGCGGTAACAAGTTGGAAGTGGCGACGCGCCAGCGACGCAAAGGATTCTCGCTTAAATAATGGCGGCTGGCGGCTGGCGCAGAAAGGAGCACTCGAACCAAATTAAACTCGTAAATTTGATTTAATTGACTTTGCTGTTTTGATAGCAAGAGACTTCTAGCTTGGTGAGTTCAACAAAAATCACTCAATTTCAATATTTCATTCACTAAGTTAGATTAAATTAAGTGAGGTTAAATAAATTATTAAACATGTTAATTTAGTGTAAAATATTATGTGTATTACTTAAAACTTTTCACATTCGAAAACTTTTCCACTTTCCTGTGCTCGCAACCGCAGTAATTTAAATATTCCGAATGTTTTCCACTTGCATTTGAGCGAAAAACCATTTTCCACGCGCATGTATCGTAAATGCTTGTCGTTTGGGGTGCTTACGACGCCAGCTTACAACTGCTGCATGACAAATCCCTATTAGCCCGCACCTGGACTGCCACTCGTGCCGGTCTAATCCTAAACATTTCTATTATTTACGAACGCTCGAGTATTTGTAATGAGCGAGTGCACTGAGCAACACCGGCATTAGCCGGCAAAGTCGTGAGCATCAACATCAACGTGAGCTGCGAGGGAGAACTTAAACCTAGGAAGTCCTAGAAATGTGGGCCACGCGGGGTATTAACAAAACGAACGCGCGACGACAACGAAACGAGCAGAGTGCAATCATAATCGCATTAGGCTTCTTCACGATACAATAAACAAGAAAAAGAACAAATACACAATCATTAAGAAAAACATAACCTATGTGATCTTATTGATTTGAAATTGGGTTATGTTACAGTTTGACAATTTAACTACGTCATTTTTTAGTAAGATTAATGTTTTTTCATTAAATTAACTCAATAGTAACGTTGGAAATAATCTAAAGTGATTTTTTCGAGTTAAAAAATCAAAATTTATTGTAAAAACAAAATTTTTAGCTGAAAAAACTAATACTTGATTTTAACTCAACAATGACGTCATAATATATTATACCATGTGTTTTATAACGTGAAATTAAAATTAAAAAATTAAAATTTCACTTTTTGCCAATTTTTACCATTTTTTTTGCAAAAGAACAAAATATTTACTAATAAACTAAGAAAAACCAATTTTTTAAATTTTAATATGTTAAATATTTTGTCAAAATTAATTCGCTGGCTACAAATTATCCTATGCATCCTTTGTTATGACCAAAAGCAAAACCAAGCTTTTGATGTTTCTGTAATGCACGACACGCTTGTACCACAGCTATAAATAATTCTTATTAGTTGCCATTAGCCCTCGGTCGCCCCCGATAGCTTCCGCCATTGTCTGCCCTGCACAAAGCATCATTCCGTACGTGAAACAAAAGCCCAAAATACAAGCATGCTCACATTCTGGGCATATTTACCACAGGAATTAGCAACAACCTTCCGCACTGGAAAATTATTCTCTAACGAGCAATTATTACTACAATAAAATGCAAATGGGCATGATTTGATGAGAAATATTTGATGGGAATTATAATATAGTCCTGTGTTTGATCATTTGTCAAGTGGTTAATGATGTAAGCTGGAACAATGTCTCAACGTCAATTTAACGATAAGTAAATGTTTCCTTTGGAAATGATTTGGTTCCAGCTTTGTGCACGTAGAGTATTGCTTCGTATTATCCTTGGCTAAACTGTTTTAAACCCTGGGAAGTAGCCGGAAACCGCAGATTTCCGTATCCGTACACTAAACTTAACCCGTCGGGTTGAATTTCTACGTTGAACATAAGATTCTCATATTTATGCATGTTGTTTAGTTATGGCAAGTAAAGTTGTGTTCAGGTGTTCAATTTCCTTTGCTTGCGCCATGAAATGCAATATTTTGATGTGGAAATATGCACTGCACATGAAACATGGTTTCGTCAGGCTGTGATTGGTGCATTGAAACTTCAGTTTAGTTACAGTTTAGTTCTTAATGACTGAAATTTTAGAAGCTGCTAAGATTGACTTTACGACTCAAGTATAAACGTATACAAAGTAGTTTAGTCAAGTTTTACTTTGCCGAATAAATATATAGTGTATTATCGTTCCATAAACTAAATATTTTGAGATAATCTCCGAGGCATAATTTCCTCATGAATTATGCAATTAAAATTTAGTTTCGGCCCTTATACACTTTGTGGTTCGACCTAAACTATTAAAACTTTATAAACTGATAACTTTCCATCGCCTAGGAAACTTCTTCGTATTTTTTATGAATTTTATTGAATGGAATTGATGCGGAATAAACTGGCGACGTTAGAAATCGATTTGTCTCTGGCGCCGATGGTGACTAACATCGACTTAAGTTATTTCTTAATTCCTCCCGAAGCGCCTGCTTTTGTTTCAAATGTGAGGATTCTATTTCATTTCTCTTCTGCTATTCATCCTTCTCGGCGCGCGTAGAGGAATCGATTGGCTCCAAACCGACATCGGAATAACAATTACGCTCTCTCCCGCGCTCCGTCGCAATTTCGACGAATTCACATGAATTGAATTAATGTCGCGTTGAGATAAATATAGAATCTTGGAGATGGAAATAAAAGCTTGCATTTCGAAAAGGGTAATGTTATTTTTTTAGCCCGCACTAAGTGGTGATACATTTTTTCTCCGCGCTTTTCGAATGCTCCAGATGGAGATCAAGTCGTTGCGCACGCTGGAAGCTCATGAATAATAAACGTACATCGTACGAACTTCATGCATAAATTAATTGAAATTCACCTTTGAGTGAGCAAAAAATAACAGGTTGTTGAAATATGAGCTAAAGAATGATTTTAAAAATACATTCAGAGCTTTTAAATTCCAAAATTTCAAAAAATACGTCAAAGAAAAAACTGAATATAACAAAATTTCTTTATTATATTTTATAATTTACTCTAAAATAAGGTAAAAACATTATTTTTGTTAAATATTTTCTCTAGGGATCTTACTTTCATTATCTTGTTACTTTTGAAAGTAAAAAGGTGTTGACAGTTGACAGAAGGTCAGAAAAAGGTCCTGAAATAGCAAGATTATCTCATAACATCGTTTTTACAGAAAAGAGAAGATAATTCTGATCAAATATTTCATGTTTCAAGTGAATTCTGAAAAACAATTTGCGCATTCCAGTCAGTTTCCGTTTGAGTCTGCCCCGATAGGATAAATATCGCTGCATCACATCAAAAAACTTCAATTCCACGTTTTGCTCAAGATCTCTGGAAGACATGAGTCACCTCACTGTGGAATACGTGCGCTGGAAAATAATCGTCTTCGGCAGTGCTTTGCTTGGCGAGCATTTTTACTCCTCGCTCTAGAAAGCCAGCAAATTTCACCGCAGAATTCCTCCGATGGAAACTATTTCTCATAAAAGTTCCATGTTAAAACTAACTTTTATCATGAATTTTTACCTTTTACATTATTTTATCCGTGGGTATCGCAATATTTATTCAAGTCCTCTCAAGAATATATATTTACGTTTTGACTTTTTTACGATGGCAATACAAATATTTAGTCGTTGGATAATATCTGACATTTGTTTGTTGTGTTTAGTGCACGGGTGGCTGTTGTCGGCGGCGGTTGGTGGCGGTGGCGGAACGCGCCCCTAATCGATACCTCGCTGCGGAACACCGACTCGCTCTGCAACGTGTGTGCGAACAACGAACTATGTATAAAGACCAACCGCCACCGACAAGAAGAAATCTCATTTCTCGCACTCAGACACACACCCTTTGACTAATTTATTACTCAATTACCTAATTACCTAATGAACTAATTACTTTCCGGTGTTCAACAATGTGGTAGTAGGTAGACGATTGTAAATTGATGATGCAACACATTTAAAACCATATAAAAACAGAAAGAAAACTAAAAATAGAAAGAAAATTTCCATTTGAAAAATAAAAATTGCAATCAACTTGTGATGTTCAAACGCTTAAACATGTTTTGATTTGCTGATGGAAAAGCTTCACTTCACTTTACGTTTGAACGACAAGTGAGTCAATACAACATGATAACACATCGTAGAACATCAAGAAACGAAAAGACAATCAATACGCACGTCAGCTTCGATTCGAAACGAATGTTTGCTCAAACAAACCACAATAGAACCAAGAAAACCACAACAAACACAAGCATAGAGCAGATATCAGCCTGTCACTGATATACGAGTATCCTAACCTAATTCGTATTCTATTCTAACCTAGAATTATTTTTTGATTTTTCTTAGAAAGTTATTATTGAAAGTTGGAAAGGTTAGGAAAATTGACGATTCCAAGAGATTAACCTTACTCCAAAGGAAGGGGTTGCAATCAAAAAGGGATTACCCGCCCCGTCGAACGTGTTTATCACGCTGGCGGCGGCGTCGCATCACGTACATCTCCTGAAGTGTTTCTATCGGATTTTAATCATCGCAACAAGCCGCCAACAGACACACCAACAACTTGTGATCGACATTCGACAAGAACCTGCCTTGATCAAGGCTTAATCAAGAGCTAATCAAGTATACTTGTAGTATACTCCAACAACTACGCACAAAAATGTTAATTTTGTTTTATTTTTAGATAAAAAGGTGTAAATGTAATTTATTTTCGTTTTCATCTGAATTTATTCAACGTTTTAATTAAAATGAGCAACAAACATGAAAATTTCCATAATGCGTGCCGTTTGGTATCCTCCCCTTAAAATAACTCATGTTATCAAAAGTTCTTATCGCGCCTGTGGGCCAAAACCAGTGATTAACTTTCAAAATTTTGCAAAGTAGATGCAACCCATAGATAACACCTCAATTAGGTCACAATTCTAATCATAAACGAAAAAATTATCAATAAATTAATTTATTAAACCTGCGAGTGTTTTTTTTTTCTTCTGGGAAGCAATTTTTGGATTGTGGGCCAGTAATTGAGGTCGCACACTTATCCAATAATCTAATACTGGATTTTTTGCAAGAAGGTTGGCTGGCGGCAAGGACAAACAAACATTCCATCTGATTTGATTCGATTGCATTGTTGGAATTTTCGCCCTACGAAAATCTCCGATAGTGCTGTTGCAGAAGGCCATGAAATGACCCGCAACGTTCCGGGGATACTACGTGACCAAATCACGTGCCACCCCATTTAGGGAATTACCGTGCTAAGATTTTTTTCCGGAACGTAATTCACTCAGGAATATTTTTCGGCATGATGCACACGAAAATAAATCAAAAAATGTAATAAAAAGCATTTTTCTACTTTTACTTTTAAAACGCGTGATTTCCACGGTTATTGGGCACGAAAAATGGTATTTAATACACGGACAGTCAAAGTCGTGACTAAAGTACTTTAATCACGGGTTTTAATCACGGGGTAGAACTTACGCCTGCGCATTTGCCAATTTATCAAAATTTGTCAATTTTGTGACTAAAATTTTCATTTATCTACTTTATACTTAATATACTCTTGTCTTTTAATAAAATTATCAATTTTGAAATTATTGACTGAGTATTCATGCATCTCTTGTTCAGATAATTCAATAAAATTTGGGATTGGACACAAACCCAGGATGATATGAAGTCGGAATATCAAATTGATGTGTGTGCGGGTTTGACTCGTTAGCCCGATACGCCCGCGACAGATAACGACAGCGATGGTTAAATGAGACACATCTCTGTGTTCCCTTCCTGCCAATTACCTTTCCGGTGAGCACAGCGGCGTAGAGCGAGTCCGGGTCAACCCGCTTAACTTCTACGTTTCAGCATCGCTGGCACTATTCGTCCAAAACTCGAAGGCAATTTCCATTCATCTGCAATAAATATGCAAAGTATTAATTTTTAAAATATTAAATATTAGCTGATGTATGTTTTATGAGGAAAAAATCTGTCACTTTTAATATGATTAATCGGTTTGTGAAAAAGCCAGGAAAGCGTCAGTATAATTTCCCATGACAAATGGCCAATGAATGTTTGCCGAATCGAGAAACTTCGCTTGCTGAACCATGCCTCAAGTTGGGCTACTCTTAAATGACAACAATTAATCAACGACAATCTGCGCGCACGCTGGCTTCTCGAAGTTTTCTCTTTGATGAAGCGTTGGCTTGTTTTTTACGCTTAGTCTTTCACCTGAAGCCGAAATCTTGTTCCACTTGCGAATTTAGCTTAACACCGAAAATTTTCATTGCCTTGTCGTCATAAAACTCAATCATAAAATATATAATAAAAGTTACTAAAGCTTCATTTACGCGCTTTTTTGTTTTACGATGACAAAAATTCATTTTTCTCTTTTATACGCATAATGAAGGCATTAAATAATAAAAACGTTTATATTTGCCCTGTGGTCAAACGCCAAAGGGAATATATTTCTTCGGGAGTTATATTTTGCACCTCAGTGAAATTTCGTGCGCTTTTATTTTTGGTTCCGTCGATACGCCCCTTTCTGTGGCCTCTGGAAGCGCGCTTCCTGTATTTCCCACTTCAATTTCCTAATTGAATTTGCCACTAAACAAACCGAGCCGCATGACGACATGAGCATCGAGGAAGCAATCGACGCTAATAAAAATTTCAAAGAGTTCTTGGCGACACAGCAATTCACTTTTCCCCAAAAAGTAAAAACAGAAAAAAAAACTTATCTTAAAGTAAACATGTTATACTCACGTGTATTACATTTTTTCGTGCTAGAATTGGTTTTGTTTTAGAGCGTAACAATTTATTCGGAAAACACGATGAAAAAATACCATCATAAATCATAAGGTCCTTGATTAAATTCTGTTTGCTGGCGGGAATTTTTCGTTTCGAGCATTGGAAATCCCTCTCGGGCGTCCGTTACTTAGATAACCGAATCTTACCAGACGAAAAAAACCATAACTCTTTCACAAACAGGATTTCAAATTTGCATTTAATCTTCCGACACATTCACGGATTTGATTTATTATTTCACATAACAAAATATCTTTTAAATTACTCGACATAATCACGGTTTTAATTTTCGTCGCCCGAAAACTTTTTCTGTGGAGTCAGTTTTAATTTTTGCGTTTCTAAGGACTCTGGTGGAGAGTAAGTTCGCTAACAAGTGTTCTTTCGTTTTGATGGAGAGGAGTCCTTGCGGATGGGTTCATTTCATTTTATTGGAAGATTTGCTTGAATGAAAAGGATGAAGAAAAGGGACGATTTGCGTCGGCCGGGCATTTTTAGGCCGCGTCTTATCCTTACAAATACCCCGCTTTTCGCCTTTCGTTTTTACAACGCGTCGTTACACCGCTTCGCGCTTAACTGGCGCCTCTCGCGTGTAAACACTTTGAATGTTATCAGGGCAAACGGGATTGGAAATCGTTTAAAGCTTCTAGCGTGAATGAAGTTGTTTTTTATAGGTTTTAGTCGATTTGGTGTCAAAATGGTAATAATTCTTTTATGATGTCTACATCCTTCAACAAATTTGAGGTTAACTAACCTCAATTTTATTCCTTTACACCAAAAAACAAAAAATATTCAAACAGACAAAAAATTAATAAAACTCAATAAATTTGATTTTTTTTCTCTTCAGAAAAAAGGTTTTGATTTATTTATGAACATTGAACTACCTTTGGAAATACTCGTATATGTAAAACTCATTGAAATACGAAATAACTTACGACACACTGGTTTCTTTCGAGTTTTTTCTTGGCTATTCTACGTTCACGAAAGTTGTTCATTGGTTCATCCATCCATCCATCTCAAAGTCTACGCTATCTGCGTGTGGGCATCTATTGAACTTGTTCAGCTCGGCGTGCAGATAAGTTCCAACATCGATTCACTTAAGTTTCCACTGGTATGGAGCAAATAAGATTTTCAAGAGTGTGCAAGTGCATTTCTAAGAAATAGAATATATAGAAAACGCTAAAACTGAACAATGGCAAGACAGATCTATGGCATATGTTTGGCGAGCGAGGACGAACTCGGGAACAATGGGAAGACAAGTTAAAAGAACCGGAACAAGAAAAATGGTCGCTGAATAAAATGAATGAAAATAAATGAATGGAAACTTTTTGACTTTTTCAAAACCGCAAAAGTTACTTTTAAAGCCGTAGAAGTTTAATTATTTATATAATTCATTAATTGTATTAAATTTTTAATTGCCACCTGTATGTTACCACTCTGAATTCCTATGCTTTTTGTTTCCCCATTGGAATAGCTGCATTTTCACCCCTAAATAATTAAGCATTCTTTAAGCAGTGAGGAGGTGTGTGCTCGCACGCATTTTCCGCACACCATGCCCCATCCCCCAACCGACAGCACTCAAAATGAGCATTGTGAATGCAAGCGGAGCGCCGCCGCGCTGGCACAGTGGCACAGTGCGGCTCGGGGGTGTTCACCCAAAGAACGAAATCGATAGCGGCGCCTCCGCTCGGCTGTTGAACCGCCCGACGAGAGCGTGAACGGACACGACCGCCAGGTAGGTCAACCGAACATCCTGCAATTCAACCCCCAAAGTATTCACCATTCGCTATGAATAACGAAGAAATTCTGATTTCAACTTTTATGGATTTAGTTAAGTGCTAAATATAACTAAGGGAAAAGTTTCGCGTAATAAATTTATGAAGTTAGTTTTCAGTTGTTGACTGTCGAGTTGTTTTGATTGTGAAGCGACAAACTAAAAGTTGAGTTGAGGGTAATTCATGGCGTTGTTTACATTGTTGGACGTTCGTCGTCAGGCGATCATCAAAATAGAAACCGGGTTAGAATAAATTTTTATTAAATTTTATTTATTTTTTGTTAAAACAAACGTTTAATATGCTTATTTAATAAGTTAGAAAACTTTGAACTATCTGCACTCAAATTTGCATAACACAAAGTTGTCCCCGCTATCACAACTTTAAGTTGAGTTTCTCCCTTGCCGGGGCAAGCGTAATGAATGCATAACTAATTTCACCAATAAATTACGCCCACCAGCATTCGATTAACCTCCGAGTGGGTCGTCTGCTGAATTGTGGAGATTACGCAAAATGCTGTAATCATAGCGTGCGTTTAATTACTGCGGCTGTTTAATTGTTGCATCAAGAATTTATCGTCTTTGGCAACAAGTTGGCTGAAAATAAAATTGAAATAAAAACTTTCCGCACTAAGCTATTTTATGCTGGGGGGCGTTCTCAATGTCATTAAGCACACTTAAATCCAGAATATGGGCTAATAGGTAAATCAGATTGCCATTGACGTAATGTCGGCTGCAATCAGCAGTCGGTTTGGTCACGAATGCGAAATTTAAAATGCAATCCATTTGCCTGCTGGTGTGGTATCGCGTCGAACGGGTGCACATATGCACACGCAATGCTTATTATCCAGTGGGATCAACAAGGCCACTCGATGTACATTAAAAATATAAATTCAAAATGGTAAAATGCTGGTGCATTTGTAATGATGCATTAAAATTTTATTATAAACGCTGATAACAGCAGAAATAATGCGGATAGATGATATATATTTTTAGCAGAAGTAAAAAATGACTAATATTTATATTTTGCTGATAAATAAATTCATGTGCAACTTGCAGAGTAAACAAGTTTGAATTTAATGCAAAATGTGCATTCTAGCGACATCTAGCGGTAGAAAATTAAAATACATTTAATTATAACATGCACAGTGCGTTTATCTCACTTTATATCTTAAAAATCCGTCAAATAAATCTCAATTAATGTATAATTTGACAAATCATGTAATTTTTCGCTAAATACCAAGAAAAAGGAAATCATGAATAATCGTCGATTTTATTGCGTGAATATGTTGTAACAGCCTCAATTACACTAATTAAGTGCGAGGCGTCGCGATGTAATCTTCTGGAAGAGTGGCTTCCGAGGCCCGTGTTTGGTTTGGTAGAGAGCAAACGGGTTCAATTGCCATGTCGCGGCCTGCGGGTGAATTTTCGGGACAATCGCACAAAGACAAAGAACCGCTGCCAGCGTCGAACGAAAACGAGGCAAAAGCGTAGAGCGAACAAAAACGCCGCCAATCGCACACCTTTTTCCAAACGTATAACGCAAAGGTGATGGCGATGATTGCGATAACAGTCGGGAGGTTTAATTTGGTCTCTAATGTTTCTACATTAGACGTTTGAACATTTGATACGAGTATTTGCTGAGGTTTTTGCTTTTTGACAAAAAAAAGTAAAAATTTCAAGAAATTGAGTGTTAGTAAAGTTACTGAGAATTATTTGTTGTATTTTTAGTTCATTATCAATTTGTGTATTGTTAGAGTCAGTTTACCTTGAGATAAACACACTGCGCTTACCATACTTAAATATAATTCTATTTTATGCCCGTAGATGTCGCGCCCATGCACATTTTGCATTAAAAATCCCCGCGTGTTTTCGCTGCATGTGGTTCGTGTATATCCGTTATCAGTTGCCTTCCTTTAATACAACCAACCTGTCGAACAAGTGGAGTGAGAATATTTGTTTAGGCTGCGCTGTTTTCAATATTTGTATAAAATTAACTGCCGGCTATTATGATTTAATTTTGAGGAGGTAAATATACCTTCAAACAGCGTAATTATACAATTTATTTACATTCATGCATTAACAAATAAAAATAAATTCTGATTAAATTTTTGATCAATTCCGCCTCTGTGTTTATTTCTGACTGTTTCTCAAATAACCGCAATCATACTGTCAAAATATTACTTTGTATTACGTAAATAATAACAATAAATATTTCAGGCCGAAATTATGCTAATTTCTAATTCAATTGCCTCGGTTTTGCACGCCTTGGAATGACAGCACGAGGCTGGCACAGCTGCGTTAATTAACCCTATTAATATTGCAGCGTTCATTTCCTCTCTT